TTCCTGGGTATGGATGTTGGCAGAGAGGACAGGGGGAAGCTGGGTTCAACTTCCTCCTCTAACCACAGCAGGACTTTCAGGATCTGACAAAGATACAGTGCGAATTGAGAATAAAGTCAGTTCACATTCTCCCTTTAAGATGCATAAAGGAGAATACCAATTTAAAAAAACTTAATTCTTTCTCTTGATAACAATGGGGAGAAGAGGCATGGTATACAATATGCCTGGAGGGTCACAAGTTCAAGGCCAGCCTGGTCCACATAGAAAGACCCTGCCTACAACAAAGCATGTATTCTTGTAAATAGAATTCTCCTCTCTTTCTTTCTCTTAGAGCATTTCCTTCAAAAGAACTATAAGTACTTTCTCTTCTCTTTGAAATGTATATAAACACCTTTGAAACTAAGTAGGCTTTATCCTTTAAAATGTGCAGGCCTGTCTTTGTCAAGGGCTTAGGAACGCTTTTCTGCAAAGCAAACAACAGGAAAGTTAACGTCCTAGCCTAGGGCTGTAATGCAATGTGCAAGTCCAGCTACCTGGGAGGCTGAGGCTGGAGGAGGCCAGCGTAGACAATGTGGGCAGACTGGAGACCTTGTGTGTGTATAAATACGTGAGAGAAAGAGGCCAGGGGTGGGAGGGAATCTAAATAAATCTACTGCTACTTCCAAGGGGGAGGGGCCTAACGCTGGCATTCACCTCATTCCAAGTCACAAAATGTCTCTTGTCATAAAGTTTGAACAAGCATTCCCCTAGCCCCAACCTCACCCTTCACAGGAAAACCATTCTCTAACTCAATTGATCACCATAATCACCTCAACTAGTTGCCTTTACCTGGAAATGAGTAATGGAGTGGGTTGTAACCGCTTGTCTCAGTAATGACAGGGTGGGAGTAGGAGTTGTTTCTGTCTTTGTGACTTCTTACTGCATGTCACATCCTGGGTTAACTATTGCTTAGCAACCGTGTTGACTAGTTTTATGTTAACTTGACACAACCTAGAGGCATTTTGGAAGAGGGAACGTGAAGAGAAAATACTCCTACCAGATTGGCCAGTAGGCAAACCTATGATTCATTTTCTTGGTTATTAATCTGGGAGGGCCCAGGTCTCTGTGGGCAGTGACACTCCCTGAGCTGGTGGTCCTGGGTGCTATAAGAAAACAGTCTGAGCCAGCCAGTAAGCAGCAGTCCACCGTGTCTTCTACTGCAGTTCCTGCCTTCAGGTTCCTGCCCTGAGTTCCTGCCTTGGCTTCCCTCAGTGAGGGATTTATACTCTGTCAGGTGAAATGAATCTTTTCCACCCAAAATTGCTTTGGGTCATGATGTTTTGGCTTTTTGTTTTGTTCATGTTTTTGTTTTTCACGGCAATAGAAACCCTAAGACAGCAATCAATCTCTATTTCCTTTGTCAATAGGTTTTCTGGTTGAGGAATAGATTTTGTTTCATAGATATCAGCTTAGCCCTCAATGGAGAAGAAGGCTAACAAGCTCAGGACCAGGCTGGGTAGAACCAGGCTGGGTAGAACCAGGCTAAATGTCCCTCCATTTGCATGGGCTTCTCCCAGAAAGAGAAAGAGTGTACAGTGGCTAAGACCAAGGAACTTAGGAGTGGACTGTTTGGGTTTAAACCATGTCCTTCCTTGATCAGCTATGTGTTAGAGCTATGTGATGACTTCTCTGTGATAAAAATATATGTCACATATATATGTGTATGTGTGTGTGTCTGTGTCTATGTGTGTCTGTGTGTGTGTATGGTTATATGTACATATACACATATATGTATTATAATGGGGCTTTAGAAAATGAATGAATTCATAACCACTAAGTCTTTCAAGCTTTGGGAACCACTGGGACCCACACACACAAGTGACACTACACAGAGACTAATGATTCAGTGCTCCATCACTTGCCAATCCCATCTCTTGTGTACAACAGAGACTCAAAGCCAGGCAGCGTGTGAGAAAGTAAACCTGGCCAAAGGGAAGCTTGGGTTCTTCGTGGGTAAAGCATGCTGGCATGGGAAAAGAAGAAGCAGGCGAGCTGTGCAGTTACTTGGAGAGCTGGTACCCTCGACTAAACGTGACTGTTTGAGGCTGCCCTTTGCAGAGGCTGAGGTTTGCTTTTCAAAGGCTGGTGTTGCAGAGGTCAGAGAGAGAAGTGGGGACCCAGGCTCCCACAGTCACATGGGATCCTCCAGTGTTGGTCTGCATCTTCAGCTCTTCACAACCTGTGCCTGGCACAGTCAGCTGCGACTGCCAACGCTTGTCCTCACCACACATCTGTGGCAGATCACACTCCACGGTGGCAGCTGGCAGCTTTTCTAGTTTTCCTTCCCAGGAAACAGGAAGCTTCTTAGGACCGAGGTTGCTTCCTCCTCAGCAGTTAAAGATACCTCTAGGAAAGCCCTGTCCTGATGACAATGACAATCCCTATAATGGCCACAATAACATGAATGTCTGATAGCGCCCCTAGATGACCTATACTCAAAAGAAGAAACCTCACAGTAAACAGAAACAAGCAGCATTTAATTAACAGCTCCTAAACTTAATGAACAGCATTGATGACCGATTGCCAAAGTCCATTACCTTTGCCAGTTCATCAGAAGCATCACTTACAAATGCTTTAAAGCAGGATGAGAAAGGCTGTATTCTTCTTCTTGACCTCTGTCTTCCTGACCCATGAGGAGGAAACATCATTGTCTACAGACTCAGATATTCGGTTCTTTCGGGTGGCAGAAGGAGGCAGAAGTGGGGGATGGTGAGACACTCATTACCATACCACGTCACACCAATTCTGACATTCATTGAATATTTACAATGTTCCAGACACAGATCCTGTGCCCTTTCGATGACATGACAGCCGCAGGAGGTATTCACGTTCACTTCCTCTGTTTTTGTAGTTAAGGATCCTGAGACTGAGGCATGAAGCTGCCTGTGATTGCATAGTGGGTTAATAATGAAGCTAGGCTCTGCACAAGAGTTGGCTTTGAATCCACTTTTTGAACTCCCCTGTAGCCAATTAGCAGCCATTTCTCTTCCTGCCAGTCTCTGTCAACCACCAAGCTATTTTCCTGGATTGCTTATCTGTATGTTTTGTGTAGGTAGAGTCAGATATCACGTCGTCTCTGTTCCTGGCTTCTTTCCTTTGGCATAATGTTTTCAAAGTCCGTTCTCAGAACTCCACTCCTTTCCACAGCTGGATAATAATCTTCACGTGTGCATGTGTGTCGTTATTTATTTATTTATTCAGTCATCAGCTGATGAAAGCCAGGGTGTTTCCACGTTTAGACCATTATGAGAACATTGTTGTGATTTTTCACAATTCCTTTTCTGAAAGTTTGCTGGGACCCTCTGTGGCTGCTAAATCCAATAGACACACCCACATAATGTATCAAGTACAGATTCCATGGGTCAGGCCCCGATGCCGTCCTTCTAGAGCATGGCATGTCCTGATGTAAGAACGACCTCACCTGGGATCTTACTGTTCCAACTGTAGGCTCCTGGGTTTCCCATAAACCAAATAAGGATCTTCTATTTAGCAGGTTCCTAGGGAATCCTTACATACATTGTACATTGAACTTCATTGATGGGGATCAGAGACACTCAATCGTGTATTCCCTGTGCAAGGTCCTGACTTGAGAGCATGTATTTAGTAGATTCATAAAGCAATTTTCTTGCTATGGGATTGTGCTGGTTTGAATGAGAAATGTTCCTCTTAGGCTCTGGCATTTGAGAACTTTGGGCCTGCCGGTGATAACTGTTTAGGGAGTTGGGACAGCCTTGCTGGAGGAAGTATGGCAGTGGGGGTGGGCATTGAGAGTGTATAGCCTTGCCTTACTTCGAGTTCACTCTTACACGTTTGTGGTTGAAGACGTGATCTCTTAGCTTCCTGCTCCAGCTGCCATGCCTGCCACTTGCTGCCATGCATACCCCACCATGGTGGACACCTCTCCCTCTGGAACCATAAACCAAAAGACACTCTTTCTTCCACAAGTTGCTTTTGGTCATGGCATCTTAACACAGCAGCAGAACAATAACTGATACAATGAAAATCCCACTGGCCCTTTAAGCGTTCCCTCTCTTCGTTTCTGTGTTAGCCTGTTTCCTTTCATCTTCTCCATCTTTGCCTGCTCCTTCCTAACTTCTTTGTCTGGGATTGACATAGCCTCCTATGTCCCCGCCCAGAACCAGCATAGAATTAGAGTGCAGTTAGCCCTCAGTAAGTCCTCTGGGGATCTGGAAGAGTAGGAATGGCTGGTACCTCAGTATCATCAGGTCATAGGGAACTAAACTAAGAATGAAAGAAAGAAGAAAACTTTCCAACTTCCAGGGGTTTCCTTCCCTCACACCCACTGAATCCAGAGCAGAGAAAGGCTAACAGGAAAGAATCCTGCTGTCTGCCACAGTACCTTTGTACAACCCAGTTAGCCACTTATACAATCCCTCCATCCCTACAGAAGTGCAATGGGATGGGGAGTTCAAAGAATGTTTAAAAGAAACATCCTGCCCAGTATCTTTGAATGATCAGGAACTCCAGCAATACATGGACCAAATATGGACCAAACTTGCAATGCAGAAGAAAGAGAAAATGTCTCTACCACCTACCACCCTCTTCAGGAAGTTGCAAAAGGATATGCTGACTTTAAAATTGGGTCCTGTGTTTGGAGGTTAAAGAAGGAGGGTATTATACTCAGACTGTGCATTAGCCACGATTTTATGCATAATTTCAAGAAATGTTTAAAAAAATTAATGCCAGGGGCATGAGTTCAGATGAAATGAGGGAAAATCACCCCAACAGAGATAGCTCATAAATCAAGTAGGCTGAAATATGAAAGGATTATTAATGCATTCATAAAGCTTTAGGACGCCTAGGTTCTTGGCAGGAACTTTGCTTTGAAGGCTCTAAAAAGTCACCTTAAAGTACTTAACTTGAAGCTTACAAAATGACTCACTGAGAGAGCGCAATGTCCCCGATGGTCCCCAAGCTCACCACCTATAGCTGTCACTTACCGTGAGCTCTTTGCTCTTTGCAAAAGGCCACCAGCCACGCACTCGCTTTTGCTGGAATATGGAGATCTTGTTCTCCTCGCTTGCATTTTCAAACTTGGACAAATCGCAGGCTTTTGCGGACTTGGCTGCCCGAGGGAAGCTGTTAAGGTTCATTTCCAGGGAGCCTGTGAAGAGACACCCCTAACAGTTATGGAGGGCTTTCCGGTCTCTGTGGATCAGCACAGACTCATACACACACTTGCCAGTCCCTCACTGAGTCACAGCGCGTGTGTGATGTGCCTGCTATGTGAGTAGATGTAAGTGGGATGGAGATGTGCATTGCCAGAAAGAGTCAGTAACCTGGTGGCAGGTGGAAGGCAGGCAGAGTGCGCTATGATGCCTCAGGCTTCAGTTTGGGATACTATCACTACCGGGCATCTTGCCGGCTCTCTGTGCAGTTCCCTGCGTCTGGACGATGGGCCTCGGGTTTGTTGTCCTTCAGTACTGATCTCCCCATGGGAGTGCCCCATTCATCATCTTGCATCCAGGGTCAGTGTCCTTCCACCTTTGCATCTATTCTTAGAAGTGAGCCTCCCAGTTCACTGGAATGTCACTTCAGGTTAAGATACTGTCATAAAGGCTTCGTGTATCTCACATTGACAACTTTCCTATTATAAAGTAACATTTGTTAAAGGTAAAACTCTCGTGCATGTCCATATATATATATATATATATATATATATATATATATAATTTAATCTTGCCAAACTGGCCATGGCCATGACTTTGTGTAGTAGCACGTAGCCCTAACCTGCCTGCTCCTCCTGACTTTAAGATATACAGCTATATAAGATTCAAATATATTCATGTCTTTTTATTTATGTATATATTTATATAAATTTACATACAATATAGATATATATCTTAAAGAAATGAGATTTTCATCCCACATTCTTTTGCACTTAGCATGTGTCCTCCCCAAGTTTCCAAACCACTAACCTTTCGGTATTTTCGTGGTTTCGGGGCTGCTGTTTACTGAGTGTTCTCTCTCTGTGAGGAGCTGTGGTTTGTTCTTTCTCCTAAAGACTTTATCGTTTTACTCTACGCATCTGTATGTGGGCCTGAATGTATGTATGTGTACCAAGCCATGCAGGTGCTCGGGCGGGGCATCAGATCCCCTGGAACTGGAGTCTTAGGTGGTTGTGAGCCTCCTGATGTGGATGCTGGGAACCAGGCCCAGGGTCCTCTGCAAGAGCAGCCAGTGTCCATAACTGCTGAGCGGTCCCTTCAGCCCCTCTGGTTGGCATAACACATTAGTAATGAACTCAAAGATTAGCTGGTTTTATTTATTTTAGATAGAGCAAAGATCAACTTGCCTGAATGTATTGGGGGCCTGCTGTACACACAGACTACAGTTTATTTTTTGTCCGTTCCCCAGTAATAGCACTAAAATTATTGTCCTCATAGCAAAATCACATGCAGCTCTCCCAAAGCTAGGGCGACATCCTTAACATCAATGGATGCTCAAGAAGGCCACCAGGCTTACCCAGGAAGTCATCTGAGGACAGTCTTTCAAAATCCCAGACCTGCAGCACCAGCACGGCTGGAGTCTTGCATTCCATCTTCTCCAGGGAAAAGATGTTCTCCCGTTTGGTGATGACCATTTGCTTTTCAGCCGGCAGATACTGGAACGGAAACAGGAAGCGCCAGTTGAAGTTGCCTTCTCCAGTCAGGGAGTTGTAATGCACGTCTGTCTCCTGCCTGTCGTCCTCCAAGCCCTTGATCCACCTGCATAAAGATTAAGAGATCCAAATGCTCAGAGCGTGTCATTCAGGCATCCACAGAATCAAGAGTGACTCAACCAGCTTCAGTGTGTCTGAGCCACAGCTTCAGGTTATGTGTAGCTTGGGTTCAGATGGAAATTTCCATTTTAATATGAAGGACAAAAGCTGGGATCCAAAAGAAGAGTCATCCTAGAACGGGGTGCATAAACGTCAAGTGTCATTGGCCGTGGATAGATGAGAAGCTCTGTGCAATTAAGATAGAAAATAGGAAATGAACATGTACTTCGAGCCCCTGTCATGCTGGGAGTCCTCTTTGTAATAAGGAGGAGGGTGTCATCTCCACACCGGAGTGTAAGGAGAAAATTATATCGAAGCCTCTAAAATTGGGTGTTTGGCCTGCTGTTGGGTCTGGGGATGACTTCTCCTCTCTGATTCGGGATCCTGACAGTGTAGCAGACTTGGGTCGTTTGGGGTACAGGAGGCTGAGGCAGCAAGGGTGTAGGTGGGCTGCTCACAGCCACTGAGCTTCTAAGTCCTGTCTCTACCTACTCACTGTATATCTGCAGGTCAGTTGTCTAATCTCTTTGTGTCTAACATCTATCTGTAAAAATGGAAACTGGTTTTGGCTCCTGGTTCTGAGGACTGTTCTGAGGAGCGACGTGGCACATCTGTTAAAAGCCTTGGGGACTCCAGATGATCTATGACATCCTTTCTTCTCAGTATTTTCCATTATTTTTCCTTCATGCTAAGAATAATGTGTATTTTCAAGTGATATTTCCCCCTAGTTGTTGATTTAGAAAACAAAGACTTTTTATTCAAACTAATGGAGAATTCAATCAACTTACTTTCTTTTTTCTTGTGTGTGTGTGTGTGTGTGTGTGTGTGTGAGAGAGAGAGAGAGAGAGAGAGAGAGAGAGAGAGAGAGAGAGAGACTATGCACAAATGTGTGACAGTGTGCAAGGAGGTATTGAATTCTTTGGAGCTGAAGTTACAGGTATCTCTGTTCTGCCAGATGTGGGCACAGGGTACTGAACTCAGGTCTCTGGAAGAACAGTGTGTGCTCTTAACTGCTGAACCATCTCTTCAGACCCCAAGCCACCTGTTTTCTGAAAGCATCCATTTCTCATTGGTAGGGAAGACAAAAACTCTTCCCTTCAGAGAGGAGTGCCACGTGTATTTCATGGCACATTTTGCAGAACACAGTGGCAGAGAGGAGTCTTATTTAGTTAACTAAAAAAGAAAATGCCCTGGACTGTTAACAGCCAGATGGAAGAACCATGAACTTCCAGACTCATGAGAAGTGAGCAGCCAGGGTAGGAGGAAAACAGGAAGACCACGCTGTTGCCAAGGTTAAGAGAGACTGGCTGCAAAAGGAGAGAGCAGCTGTGCTGGGTGGTCCTTAGAACAAGAGAAGAGAAAGATTAATTAGAAGGACGAATCCAAGCTGAGCCATTGGGATTAGCAACAGTAGACCTGTTTGTGCCGGTCCTGGGGAGCAAGGCAGCCCCAGGCAAAGGGTGAAAGGCGAAAATATGGGTGTCTCTGAATATACACATCTTAATGGCCAGGACTGGGACGTTTCTGAACTCTTCCACAAGCCTTCCATATTGTGAGCTATGAAATACCATTTTGCAGAACCCCTTAATCTTTCTTGAACATAACTGGAAAGCAGTTTCAGATGATTTTAATTCTGTTCTGCAAGTATTAATCCTGCTTTGTCATAATTCATTCCTCTATTCTCATTCTGGAGGGAAAAAAATGAGAATTTTGAACGACTGAGCATATTTTGACTGCTGAGGTGCTTCTTGTTCAGGAAAGAGCAAGGGCTATCACCGAAGGTTTCAACGAGTTTATATCTGATTTTCTGTGTCCTCACTGACTCCGTGACTAGGGGCTGAATGGAAGCAGGATGAGATTTAAGAGGTATAGTGAATGTTTCAACTCCAGGGTAATCGGCTGAAATCTCAGTAGCAAATGGGGAGGCCTAAATTCTAGCCTTTGCCTTAGCTTTATAATCTTCTAAACACATGCCCCGTTCCTCTATAACACGCATGTTGCTCTGCTTGCTTCTCATGAAAGGGCAGATACACTTTGAAGGACACTTAAAAGTTTAGTTATCCTACGTTCAACTGAAAGATAAATATATAAGATGTACACACTGAAAACGCTTTCATAAAATAATTCTTAGCAATGTAAATGAACAAGACAAGTATTTTACACAGAAAGTGGCCTTATCTAACAAAGCGGGACACTTCCTCCCGTGGGATGTGGGTGGCAGCTTGCACGGAGCATAGATTGGCTAGAGACCAAAAGAGAAGGCGATGGAGAAAGGAAGGATGGAACTTGTGGAGAACCTTACCCTTTGACATAAATGTCGCTTGATTTTTGACCCGTGAAGATATTTTCATCTTCTAAAATAACATCTTCAGTGTTCCAGATGGTCACTCTCAGCTCGTATCTGGGGTGAAGGAGCACAGTGTTAGGCGGACGACCTTGAAATGGGGTCAAAAGCATTGCACTTGGTCTGTAAGCCTGACTCTGTCAACTTCATTAGCATCAGCAACGCAAGGTTGGTCTGTCAGAACTAAGTGGCCCAACAGGAGATCTCAGACTCGCTGGGGTATGAGTGGATCAGAGCAGCTCCTCCTTCGGTGGCCCAGCATTTCCATATGAGGAGTTTGAAACTCAGAAGCCACCAGCTCAACCACCTCTGTCACCACACCTCATGCACCACTGCCACTGGCCAGAGGACCATCTCCCATCACAAATGCTGCAATCCTTTACTCTGCTCTCACAGTCTCTTCCCCTCAGCACTGGCAGATTTACTTACCCTTTGGGTTTCCTTGGTGAAATGTCAACAGGAGGTCCAAGCTGAGGTGTGTCTTTGGGAAACATATCCACCCACATCTGTAGATGGCCCTGGTTGACAAAAGAAAGTTTCCCTTAGCTTTGAGAGATGGCGAAGCATGGAAATGGACCATTCATTATTTTAAAATATCCCCTTATTAGAAATGGATGTTGGATATGATTTGGTGTCTTTATACACATGTAGCCCATTTGATAACAAAGGTAGTGTCTTCTCTGACTCCTCCTTCCTTCCTTCCTTCCTTCCTTCCTTCCTTCCTTCCTTCTTTCCTTCCTTTCTTCCTTCCTTCCTTCTTTCCTTCCTTCTTTCCTTCCTTCCTTCTTTCCTTCCTTCCTTCTTTCCTTCCTTCCTTCCTTCCTTCCTTCCTTCCTTCCTTCCTTCCTTCCTTTTCTTCCTTCCTTGAGGTAGACTCTCAAGTAGCCTAGACTGGCCTTGTATACATTGTGTATGTGTAGCTGGCCTTGAACTCCTGATACAGTTGCTTCTACCTCCAAAATTCTGGAATTACAGAAATGTACCACCATGCCTTAGATAACACATTTTATTAAGAGTTTACGGAGATGCATAAATTAAGAGCTGGGGAAGGGTAAGAAAACCTTTATTGGGCCTCTACTATGTAGTAGACACAGCACTATGCAGTTAATACATACTGTCTCAAGAATTTTTACATCTTAGTTAAGCTTCAAAGTTTTTCAAATGTCAAGGTTCTTACAAAGGACTTTGTCAATTCGAATTGTTAAAATGGAAATACGAAATCAACAGTGACTTCAGAGCATAGTTTTTCAACTCTGGCATTACTGACATTATTGCTAGGCAACTAACTCTTTCTTTGGAGTGGAGGCTATCCTGTGCACTGTAGAATGTTTGTTTAGCAGCATCTACCCACTGGATACTAATAGCACCTCACCTACCTCTAAGAACCCAAACTATTTCCAGACAGTGCTATGTGTTCCCTGGGAAGAAGCTCAAAACCAACCTTGGATAGAATCACTACTGTAAGGCACATAGCATCAGCTTTTAGGGACAAGGACACTTTTCTTGTGAGTGAACACTCCTCTTTAGGCCAGACCTGTCCTGCCCATTTCTGCATCCACCTTGGCAGGCATGAAGGTGCTTTAAAGAGTCACTTGCGTCTCTTTCTTTAGCTATAAAACTAGTGACATAATAGTTCCTAAGAAAGTGGAATTTACTCGGGAATTTCATGTGCGAGGTGGAAAAGGATGAGACATGGTACTAGCAAGATGAGTAGTCCATCTTGCAGAAGGAGACTCCATATAGTCTGACAATTTGCCAGACCACCTTGAAGGAGCGACTGGAGCAAAAGGAATGATGGACCAGTGATAGGTGGGAACATCTCTTGAACAGTACTACCTAGTTAAGTATGTAGACCTCTTGAATTCTATTAAACCTAAATGTCATGACAGGATCTTTAAAATAGATTTAGGGGGCTCAATGGACCCCTTTATCATCTTTTCAGTATGGACAGTTAATAAGTCTTTCTTTGCCTTTCACTGAGACTTTATCCTTTTGATTTGCCCCTTGAGGATGAGTCACCAACCCTAACTCTTTAAGGCTGGCAGGGTCCAGGCTCTGACCTTAACAATGCTGGTCATACTACCTGCTCCATTCCTGGCTTATCCTTGTGGTACAGTGGCCTTGTTTCTATGTGCTCAGGAACCAGCTTACACCCGACCTCAGGGATGTCTTCCCAAGAGTGTAACACCTTGAGAGCCAAGTGTTCATAAGACTCCACCATCTCCTCTGCAGAGAGTAAAGATAAGAAAAGAGGCTTGTTAGAAGCAAAGAGTGGGGGCTGTTGATGCTGTCTTAAGTACTTCCCTTAACCATGCATCCTAAAGACACTAGGACATAAAAAGAAATTAAAAACAGAAAGAACTGGAGATGACATCATATGAAAGAGAAAGAGGCTGAATGTGGAGACAGAGACCTGAGAGAAGTCAACTGATAAGAAGACAGAGATGTCAATTATGCCCTGGAGTGGGGTTTTACACACACACACACACACATACACACACACACACACACACACACACACACACACACACACTCAACCAGATTCCTGGAGATCCCACAGCAGATGGATGCTGACACTAAAGAGGGTAAGTTTGTTCACACCATGGTGTGAGGACCTAGAAATCAGGGTGGCCTTCAGTAAAATGGTGGCATGAGGTGTGCTTATAGATGTCTTCTCTTTGCCTGGGAATCTCACAACCATAAACACCTGTACTTCATTCCACCAAAGGAGGTGACTCGTGGCTTAAAAGATAAAAACAACAATAAAAAATACAGGTGGAAGGAACATCACAAAGCAAGACAAAATTATTGAAAGAATAAAATTGTCTTGACAAAGTTTGTACTGATGATAGGTATAAGATATAAGATGATATAAGACACAAAATAAACCTGACTCTATAGAAAGAGATCACAGAAGCAACCACCTGGTGGTGGTAATTATATCAGTAAATGCTAATAGAGTTAGACAATCAATGAATAAACCTTTGTTTATTCAGGAACTGACACTATGAACATAATTTCACATCTTTAGAGTGCAAAATTGCTAACTTTTAAATCATTAGTCAAATGTATAGCTTTGACCAAATAATTACATCACCATAAGAGTATATTGTAGAAGAGGAAACGTTTTTAAAGGAAGTCCATATCAATATATCACTGTCTAAACAGCAATAACTGCATGCAAGAACCCTTAGTATGTTCTTGGGTCCAAAATCAAGAAGTAAAAAGAAATAAAAATGGCGGAAGTCAATAGTGTTGAAACAGCTTTGATATCACCTCCGTTTGACTGTAGCAAATGCACGGAAGCTTTAGAGAGAAGCAGAAACTGCGCATCCTCAGATGTGGTGGTGTCAGAATTGCGATTCGTCATTAAACATGCCTTTTGTCCCCAACTCCCAAATTTGTGGAAACATCTTTGGGATCTACAGGGTGTGTCCTGTGATACTCATGAAAAAAAAAATCCCTCTTTTGGTGCCACAATAAGATAGTTTGGTCCAGCACTTGCAGGGTAGTGGGTTATACCTATGTTTAATGCTATATGATATTCACTGAAAGCTCTTGCTTGCTTTGCACATTTGCAAGTCCTTAACAACATACACAAAGACGGAAAAAAAATAGGCCAGGATACAGCGTAGTTACCTGACCCTTGTGACTGTGAGTGCTTGTCATTAGCCTACTTCATTTTCTGTCTTTCCCTTTTGTAATTAGATGACCCACTGTCCCCAAGCTTTGACCACTGCAACCAGCCGTTTTAAAAGAACACCGATATTGGCAGAGCCATGTGCTGGGAGTTACCAGAGTCGTCTTCAGTGAAGACTGTTTTCCCAGAAAAGACCTTATTTCCGATCTGTATCTTCCCAGGGCGAAAGTGTGGTCCATCCAGCTTGTTGTCTTTGCAGAGCTTGGTTAGAATTTCTGTGGGTTTGGACGTGTCCCTCCAGGCATTGTACCCTTCTCTGAGAAGAGGAGGAAGGACAGAGGAAGTGAGCCTAGCTGCACTTGAGGTCCCCAATAAAAGCTCTTATCAAGTGTGGCTTGTTTAGTTTCCCTGGTTCTATACCCGGGCTAGTGTGTTTGGCTTTGTTTCCTTTTCTCCTCTTTCTAGTCAAGCGTCTTTGCATAAGCACAGCTTGTCTGTAAGACAGGGCCTGCAGGCAGCTTGACATAAAGATAGTTTGCTGAAAATTTTGATTCTTTTAAAAATGATTCACTCTTCTTTTAAAATCGAACATTGTAGTGGAATTCATATAACAAAATGTATCATTTTGAAGTTGACTGGTTTGGTGGTATTGTATATGGTCCTAATAACATGCAGTCATTAGCCTTTCTGCCTAGTTATAAAAAGTTGCTGTCCCCCTGAAAGGAGACCCTGCATCAAACTGCACTTACTCTCTGTTCCCACCCCAGCACCATTAGCAAGATCCCATCTGCTGCTAGGGGGTCTGGGCAAGTTTAGCCAGTGTTTGGTCAGTGTTTGGCCGTTCGTGTGCTACTTAAGAGGAAAGCTCGACTTACCACCTCAATGTCTCTCCTCCCTTCCCCTACATGTTCCCCACACAATTTGTCTTATAGACTCATGTCTTAGGCAGATGATTCTGACATGGTTTTCTAACAAGTGACTTTGCTGGGTCTCCCCAACCCTTTCACCCCCTAAGAAATAGCTATTTTGGAGGAAGGCTATCACTGGACACAGGGGCAGGCCCTAGTTCCCACCAACTCCCTGCTTCCTTGTCTCCCACAATAGGAATTGAAGGATCACATGTCCTACACATCAGGAAGTAAATTGACCACTTTATAGCATGTTCATGTGATCAAATACTATGTAGGCTCAGTACATTAAAGACTGCAAGCAATATTAAATGACAGCTATAAAATACTTCAGCTACAAAGTAAGAACAATAAATAAATTGCAATGCATGTAAACCAAGTTCAGAAGAAAATAATATAGAAACAAAAAACACCAAAAGGAAAACTAAAAGTAAAAATGTACATAAATATTTAATGTTTATCAATAATTTATGCAAAATGGTGAATTGTGAAAATTATTTGATTTATAGTGATAAATTATGTAAATTATTTTCCATTTAGGAAAAATAGTTTTTGAATTACACAATGGAGCCCCAATGAATGTCTATAATTCCCTGGTTGTAATTTTTAAGATTTCGTTAAAAAATATAATCAGATACAACACACTTAAAAAGAAAATCAAGCTGATAGCCTACATTTTAAAATAAAGTTGATTTGCAAATCTTTGTGAAGAATGAGATTTAAATCCACTCTTCCTTCACTTATAAAGCTAGTTCTAGAGGAACTGATAAGATACTGCACGCAAAGCTCTTAAAACAGCTGGTCCTACACACCTACAGCTGGGTGTTTACACAATTCTGAGACACCCACAATGTTTGCAATGTTTGCATTGTGTTAACCATTCCTCAACTAGTACCATTCCCCTGGTAATCCTGATCACCAGACACAGGTGAATGCACAAGCACACCACAGCCTGACTCTTAACCCTTGAAGAACTGGCCCTGAGTTTCAAATCAAAGCTGCTTTCCCAGCCTCATTGGCTCTCAGGAGGATGGAATAGTCTCCCCAAACCAGCTCTGCTGATACCGTCGGCCATCCTAGAGATAAATTCGTGCGCAGTACAGATCCCCACAAGGCTGTGGCCCTTAGACACCAGCAGTGTCTCCACGGGAGAAAACTTACATCTCATATTGGCTCTGCAAGCCACAGATGGCTCTGTGTTTGCTGTAGAAACGGTTCTCCAGGTCAATTTTGGTCTCCCCAATGAGGTCATCTGACCCAATCATGTCATGGTCATAAATCAGGATGGAGAGCAGGGACTCCTTTGGGAAAGTGGCCTGGATCTCAAATGACCTGTGTCCAAGCAGAGGGCTGGGAATTAGTAAGGTCTGGCAGCACGGAACGTCACCAGCTTCCTTTTGGTTAGCACTTCGTGGTCCACTTTGTAGACGCAATGACTGGATTGAATAAACTCAGTTAGCACTGACAGGTATCTGTGTAGTTTATTATCCAAGTACAATCATTGACTTCTGATTTCTTTATCAACTTTCAATAGACAATGATTCACCCTTTCATGTCATATCTTCGAGTTGTTGGTCTTGTTTCCAGTCTGATTTCAGACCTGAACTATGTGTCTGTTAAACATTGTGAATCTTACTTAATTTCTTCCACCCTCCCTGTATGACTTTTTTTTATAACATGGTGGGGTGGTTGATCACATAAAACACACATCCTTCTTCCAGGTTTTCAGCTCATACACGGTGAGAATACAGTCATTCATTTCTGTTACTGCTTTGTTGAGGAACACCACTGGAGTTTTCAAAGAGAAAACCTTGCTAATGGAAGCAAAGAATTTCAGAGCTGAAATGCTGTCTCCACAAGGCTGAAGCCCTTGAGAACAGAATCATTCTGACTTCCACACTGCTGGAGTTTGCACTTGGCCATCAGAGAATATATACTTAGTGGCTATTTCTTTGAACTACAAAGCATCTCGGAAATCTATATCCAATACCTCTATTTTGCAGATAAGGGAACCAAAATACCAAGAACGTAAGAGAAGGATGATGAATCAAGCCTTCCCAGAGCACTTGATATTATAAGGCTAGTATGGCCATAATTAACCCTCCCCAGTGAGAAAAAATAAGTCAGATAATAACACCAGTGATTATAGTTGATAGATCAGGCTCTTAAAGGTCCTATGTGGGGCTGCACATGGAGAAATCCATGTGCTCTTCAATCTAAGCATGGTGATGCCTTTCTTAGCTTCACTATTTGGATTCTAGGTTGTAATGGCTATTCTGGGGGTTCATCAGAAGGAAGCACCCAACATCCACACTGGACTTTGCTATCACCATGTTACCCACCCAGGACAGACTTGATAATGGCTTCACTGTCCCTGGTAACAATGACAAAGGACATGATGGCTCTGGCCCTTCTCATCAAATTGCTCAAATTAATGCAGTCTGGATTTTAACTGGAGCTGTCAAAGAGTTTGCAAAAGCTCAGTACCAAGATCGGATTCTTGGTTGCCCTGGAAACTCCTAGGCTTACATCAGGTCATATGTCAGTAATAATATCATTAGAATGCTACTGTTATCCATTGCTTGAGGAAAGATCATTAAATGAGCAAAACTTGAGATAGTAAAAGTGTTTGGAGGCTCAGAGGTTTAAAGCCAAGATGGCTCCTTTGTTCTTCCATTCATTTCCTAACTTATTCTTCTGACACTTATCACACAGTCATTGTGTGACAGGCCTTGAGAGTAGAATCATTTCCAGTGGGTAAGGATACAAGAAATTGGCAGAAGAAGATGGCAAGAAGCCAAGATCAAGTCATGGGCAGAGTGCTGTGAACTGGGAAAAAGGAGCATAATGAGAAGTCTCATCACCCCAGGGACTAGACTGCAGACAGCTCTCCTGGCTTTAGACCTGTGGAGCTCAGACTTGCCCTTCTCCTGTCTTCATGGGACTTGACGCAGTGCCATATTCTCTGACTCATTTTTTTCTTAGTAGTCATAAGATCCCTAAAAAGCACTGCCTAGTGGAGCACCTGACATAACAGACAGATTCTCAGTAACCAATGAAAGTGGGCAAATGCCATGATGAGGGCCTAGCAAGGACCCACACCTACAAAGGTGAGCAAGCCAGAGTCAGTGAGCTGTTTTAGTCCCCTAAGATCAGCCTTTCGAGATTCCATCCCACTAGCCTCCCACTTTCCAGGGCCATAAACTAAGGCTGAGAAATCGAGTCTACTTCACAGCTGGGAAACTGTAATGACAAAACGGAAGCAGTGGCTCCTTAAGTGGCAGAGAACAGTAAATGTCACCTCTGGATCAGAGAAACAGGTACACTTCTCTGGAACTGTCACTTTAGCTGGTCTCACTAATCTAGACTAGTTTATGACCTCATTTCCTCAGCAGCAATAAAAATCAAAGAAACTGATGCTCATCAAATGCCATGGGCTCCAAAGCCAGTACAAATGGATAAATGAATTTACGTGAATCTGGTGACAATCTCTCCCCAAGCTCTTAGTTCCTCAAGAAGAAGAAACTTACAAGTACTTAAGATGTTGCTAAAGTAACCAAGGAGGAGGAAAGGTAGCACATGGGTGTTGGATACTCTGTTATAGATGTTTCATGTGTTCTTTCAATGGAGTCTAGAGTCAGGTGTCACTACTGCTTTATAGATGATGAAGCTCCAATCAGAGAGGCAAAGTCAACTGCATGAAGATACAGAGTCTGTACATGACAACACAACCCAGGCTCCTTCAGTTCCAACATAGCCAGAGCGAAAACTCAAGCAGGAGTCATGTCTGGTATGCCATTAGAAGGTCAACGGGGTGTGGCTAGAACGATGGCTCTGGCTAAGAGCACTGCAGTTTGGTTCTCAGCACCCAGATAGTAGTTTACGACCACACATAACTCCAGTTCCAAAAGATTAAATGTCATGGGCACCGTACACATGTGGTACACATATACATGCAGGCAAAACATATACACACATGAATAAAATAAATAAATCTTTTTAAAAAGATGTTGCTATCTACCAGAAAATTCATGAGTCTAGTTCTACTACACACGCACGCGCACGCACGCACGCGCACATGTGGTGTATTTTAACCTTTTGCAGGAAAACAAAACACAACTGGAGGCTCACAGTTCAACATTTGGACCTCAGAACCACTCCAGTTAGGTGACAAAATGATAGTGTAGTAAAACTTTCTCTAGTAGAAGATCAACAACATCTGGCCCAGTGCCCGCTACTTCTGGGTTGTGTGAATTTGAATATACTTCTTAACATTTTTTGGATCTTAGATGTCTTGATTGTAAGAAGAAAGCTTTCATACAGTATTAGGAGGTGGTATCCCTGACCCTTCAAGGTACTTTTAAGTTTAAAACTACATGTCTGAAGATCACAATGTCAAATCCTAGATAGGAAAACGATCTACATTTTTGCATGGATAAATATTTGGTTGGGTGTTATCAAGGATACAAGTCAGTGTTTAATCTTCAGCTACTGTTTTATCTAAGACACCCCTCCACACATGCACACCATTTCCAACAACCTCCAGGAAGGCAGCAGCAGCCAAGGCAGAAAGGACAATACAACCCAACTGGGAAGGCACTGACCTTCCAAACACTGGATTCAGTTGTTTGGGGATGTACTTGTCCCGGTCTTTGATTTCTGTTTTGCCAAGCCTGAGCACAATGTAGGGGTCTGATTTGCCATCTGGATCAGCTGGGCTAAGATTAAATGCCTGGAGAAGAAAAAGAAAATGGTTCTGACGCAGCGGGCTCAATCCTGGCTGCACATGGGGACACTTGGGTTCTATCTTGAGAGGTTCTGATGTTCTACCTCCTGAGCCTTGGGATGTTTAAAAGCTCTCTAGATTTTAGAGTGTCACTAAAGTTGGGAACCACTGTTTTAGCATCCTAAGTTTGCTCTTAAGAAGAGCCATTTTGATATCCACCTTTCTCTTCTGTCATCTACCCAGAGGCAACCAGTTTTTGGCACATGGCAGCAAGGAATGTGTAAGAGGTGGCAGAAGATATAGCCCATGTTCTAATTTTTAGTTTAGCATCCTGGCCAAGTCCTGTTGTTTCTGGATCTGTCCGTATAACCATGGAGTAGACCTAAAGACCCAGTCCAGCACCAGTGGTTTTTGAAGCCATTTCTCCATGAATCTTGCCTTTAACCTTATCTCCTTGAGTGATGCTGTGTTTCTGATCACGAAGCCTGATTCCAGACTGGCTGGACCGTAGGCTGTCAAAAGTGAACCTGGTGTATGAAAAGGCCAATAAAGACATGGCGTCAAAGAGACTGAGAAGCTTGATAGTGAAGCTGAGAAACAGCCCAGTACTTCATACTGTCTCCCTCAGACCAAACAGAATAAGTAGATCCATAAGAATAAGAATGTTCTCTAGAGATTGCTTAATAGACAACTTGTAAATAGGCTACATGCCAAAGCACAGTCCAAATAAGTGATTCTTTTGTTTTTTCCTCGGCAAATCACCCACATTTAAATCTCTATACCTCAGTGAATTCTAATACAACCTGCACACTTTGCTGTTCCTTTGTTTATTTTTTTTATATTTCCTAGTTCTTATACCACTTGGACCTAGCACATGAAAATGAGAGTGCTGTTCTATTAATGACTTTATTTCAAGGATATTGTAATGAATAGGGTCTTCTTAATATTTCTTGTGTGAACAAGTGACGTTACAGCTACTCAAGAAAGCGTCATATGGCCACTAAAAGAAATAGAGCAATGTGCTGATCTGGGAAAGTGTCTATGCTACCTTTTTAAGGAAGAGGAACACAGTAAAGAACTTTGACATATATATATACATACATATATATCTATATATATCTTTTAGTGCTTATTACATTATTTTAAAATCAGAGTATTATATAACTAATTGTGTGCTAATAAATGATAGAAAAGCACACACAGTCACCACTACTAACAAGGTCCATGCCAAACACTGGCTCTCCATCCTGCAGTGACTTCCTTGCTAATGAAACACGAGACTGTCACCCTCTCACTCTGTTCATTCAAGGACGCTGTGTCCTCAAACTGCAGCCCAAGGCAGCCCTCTTCCATGCTGCCTACCCTGCTCTGGGCAGGAACCTTGTCCACGGTTGCCCTGACCTTCGCGTACAGAGCTCTAGACAGCAGAACTGCAGTAGGGGTTGTGATTCAGAGCTCTGTAATTCAGCGAGAGAAAACCATGGAGGCTGGGAAGCAGAGATGGTGCTGAGGACAGTACATTTGTTCAATACATTTGTTTGCTCCCAGAATTCTCTGAGCTCTTAGTGTGCATTTGAGCTTTGAGAACTTCTAGAGTTGGAGAAAAAAATCAATTATCAGACACAATATTTCTCAGATTTACATGAACATGCACTCTGATTTTTTGAGGAATGTATATTAACTACCTCCCAGGACCCCAGGATCTTCCTGAATAGCAGTTTTGAAAAGGCTATTGTGGAGCCACCTGTAGGTAAGCATTTATTAGAGGCGACCCAGCATTGTCTGAGCTTTATCAGGAGCACTGCTGCCCTTCCCAGTGGGACTGCTTTTTTGAAGACAAAGACTCCATCACAACACCCCTGCCACACTAGGGTGCGATGGCACTCAGGAGAGAAAGGACACCCAAGAAGTGCACAATGAGATGACAATTTGTTTTCTCTTCTCATTAATTTTTTAATTCTTGGGACAGAGTCTCTCTGTGTGCTTGGCTGGCCTGGAACTCCTCCTGAGGGCAGGGGCGAAAGGTCTGTGCCACCACACCTGGCAATTAGTTTTTCTTTTATGCTTTGCTAATGCTCCTTAAAAGGGATTTAAGCAACATGAAGCGAGGCAGCATTGAATAAGAATACTATACAGTCCTGAAAACCGGATCCAAGCAACGAGTTAAAGACAAATCCATGATCCATAAAGAGTTGTACAATTGAATGTCATGTTTGGTTTTCCACCATCCCAACGGGTCAAAAAAATTGTAATTAAAGGTTTTTTTTTTTTAACCCATTATCAAAAAACAGAAGCCTGGAGAACATAATGTTTTGAGTTGTTTTTTTGTTTTTTTTTAATAGACTCAAAATGAAAATTCTGACTGTAGTAGTGCAGCAGTAAAGCCACTGGGAGAATTTCACTGAACAGCTGCCCTGTTGGGTCCTGGGTGCCTTTCTTGCCTCTTCCCACTGTCTTCTCTGTGAGCATTCTACTTCTGCCTTTGCTTTCCTTTCCCACTAGCAGGTAACCTAACAGAGCCAGTAAAGCTTAACGGCCTGATCTGGGCACCTCCGAAATGCATGTGTTGAAACTTAATGGTATGCTGGCTATAGGCAGGTGTCTAAAACTAATAATGTCACAAGAGTGGAGCTGTAGAGTTCTGAAGTTGCTCCTTTTCCCTCCACGTTTCACACCCCTAGAGGAACAGCCATGTGAGGGCAGATAACAACACTGCCAGAACCTCAATCATGGATTTACAGCCCCCAGAACTGTGGTTAAAAAAAACCATTTCAGTTATTTAAATCCACTTTTTGCTTCAGCACCATGGATAGCCTAACACACTCACGTAGATCAAAGGAGGATGGCTTACCGCAACAATATACACACGGATCAGTACTTGAATGGGGTGATTGGGTGGAATTCCTTGCTGGATTCTCAGCTGGCCACTGTCCTCCGAGGTAGAGTCCTCTGGGCTTTTGTAGATGCAGAAGGAGCCCTGATACCATAGAATACAAGCCAGAAAACAGAATTGTCATCTGACCTATAAGAAACCATTGTGAGCCCAGTGGTAGAACAATGAACACATCCCAAGTGTCTGAAGGACATGGGCTAGTGTTACCCTTTGTCAGGGTTGCATCTTTGGGGAATATATACAAGCTGCTTGCCTGAGCACTTATTCATAGCACACTAGTGGATGGGGCCATCACACAAGGACTATAGCAATGGGATCTGAGTGCTCTTTACACATGGAACACTGTGCCCAGGCTTCCCTGCTTTCCCAGTCTGTCCTGAGTACAGTATTCCTCTTTCCAGGTACAGTAACTGAAGCTTTGGGAGGTGAAGTATATTGTTCGAGGTCATGCAACTGGCTACTGTAATAAACAAGATTTAAATCCAGGTTGGCAAACTAGGTTACTTGGTATAGTTCAGCACACTGAGTAGTACCTTAAAGGCCCAGCATGCAGTAGTAAACAGCCAGATATTAGTGACTGCTTTGTTATACTGCACCCCAAGTCTGCCAGAAAAGGGTTTGGGTTGTTTGATTTATCTTAGTTTTTCAACTGGCAAATCTGCATGGATCACATATTTAATGTGTTATGAATGGGACAGCAAGGCAAAGGACAGTGGTCCTTATGGGTGGGGACTATGTCTTCCTATATATTACACAGAGTGAGTTTAACCCATTGGCCACAAATCAAAAGTATGTTCAAAGACTATGACTGGGCATTATAGAGTTTCAGAGAAGGTTCAGGGTAGGCATTGAGGGTCGTCTCTGCCACACACACAACCCACATCACAACCCCATTATTAGAATTGAGTCATGGCTGACATTTATGGACACAGAGAATGGAATTGACATGGGAACTTGCCTTGAACTTTCCTATGACCCGGTCTCCATCCAGACCATGGTCATCTTCTGTAGATTTGCCTCTGAAGAGTTCAAAGGTCTTCACCCAGTCTTCAAAATTGTTGAATTCACTCTCAAGATCACCATCATATATCTTTAGAGAAAAGAAAGATTATATGAAGACGAAAGAGGGTTAGTTACCCCCATCACCTTTAAATTCATTCTCAAAGTTTGAAAACAGACACAAATATAGACAAATTCTTCACCAGAATATAATAGGAATGGCATTGGGTTCAATTCCCAGTAGGATCTCTGTTCCCATCAGAAAACTCACAAGGACAGCCTTTGATGTCTACGTTTCTATCAGCAACCTGTTCTTCTGAGGTTTGCCAGAATCACCCATTTCTCTCTATTTCCTGTTAGCATGAAGTGGATAACTCTTCTCTACCACATGCTCCTGACACCATGATGTTTTATCTGAGTACATGGGCTGAGCAATCGTGGTCTGAACCCTCTGAAACCATGAGCCAAAAGAAGCCAAGATGTTCTCTTAGGTAGGAGATCAGGGGTATGCACAAAGAACCAGTATGAAGGGTTAGTGTTGGTTTAATGAGAAAGACCCAGAATGCTCAAAAACTGGCATTGAAATATGCCTCAGGGAAAAGGTAAGAGGCTGCCATTGATTCATCCTTAATAAGATAGGGGAAATGTTGGGCTAAATATTCCTAAAGCTAACTATTATGAATTTTATAAAGTCCTCTGCATAAAAATTGAATTCCAAGAAGTATAGCCATCTGAAAACATTTTAAAGAGTTATTTATTTTGACATGTATGGATGTTCTGTGCACTGTGTGTATGTATGTATGTATGTATGTATGTATGTATGTGCACTATGTGTATTCCTAATTCATGTGGAGACCAGAAGAAGGTATCAGGATCCTAGAATTGAAATGACAGAGGGTTGTGAGCTGCCAAGTAGGTTTTGGACCAAACCCTGATCCTCTACATGAGCAGCAAGTGCTCTTAACCACAAAGCTAGCTTTCTAGCCCACAAAACATTTTCAAATATATAAGCATAAACATAACAACCATTTTTATGCTTAATTGATGTTATTGGCCGTTAAATATAAACAGTAGTACTTTGGGGAAATTGAAGTCACTAATATTCATTAATTCATAACACATTTAAAATGACAGTGTTTACTTTTATTATAATGCATGCAGATATAAATTTTCCAAGGGGGGAAATGATATATAGACTTTAGAAATGCAAAGTAGAATGAAATTTGAGGTTTAGAAATATAATTAAAATACTTATTCAAATATCCTCTCAAAATTACCCAACTTGATCATCTACATATGTAATTCCTGTAATTCAAAATTTTTCCCATCGGTACCTATGCCTCTAGCTAATGCTCCCTCACTGTGAAGATTGGCCTGATAGAGCTGACTTCAGTTAAAGCTCCTGCTATTTTGAGTGTGTACCCACCACATGATGAAATCAAGCTCCTAGAGGAGTTGAACACTGTAAATTGCCTCCCAGGCTGAAGCTGAACAGCAGATGTTATACCCTTTCTGAATGTATGGGGTCGTGGAGAAGGAAAACGGACAAGCTTCACTGTCTCGGCTTATGTACATGTTAGACTTTATTTTCCCATGAGTGACTATAATGAAGACAGCATGAGTAAGTTCAAAGAAAGGACTCGTGACAGTTGATCCCAGCACTAAGAGAAGCCTGCTGCTGAGTGCTACAACCCATCCCTGGATGCCCTGCACCCACAGACCTTCAAGACAGCCAGGTTTGGGATGGCATCATTTCCGTCATCTTTTGGTTTCTTCTTGAGCATTTTGTCTCTCTTCTTTTTGGGGCCATCATCCACATCCAGGACTACCTCGTCTGGCTTTGCCTCTGTGGATATTTGGCAGAAGTTGTTCCAGGATTGTTAGCTGCAGGGTTACTATAAACAGCCCTGGAGTTTGTATCATATGTAAACGCAATGTTTGTGGCTGCCCCAGCGCCAGGCAAAGTGTTAGCTGGGCCAGGTCTGTGCATGAATACATTAAGCCTGGCACTGAGAAGGTACATTATTTGTTCCTCAACCAAGCTAGCGGAGAAAAGACCCAGAAGTTGAATGATTCTAAGCTTTTTGTTAATGTCCTCAGGGTCTCAAGAGTCATCTCGTTCCAATATGAGGCTCAAACATGTTAAGGGTCTCATACAAGTTCACACTAATAACATGATTGAGTACATTTTTTTAGCAGCATCCCGTGAAGGAAAATGACTAGAGACAGACTTTGAGCTCCACTATTTCTTGCTGTGTGACCTTAACTGGGTAACTGGACCTCATTGTATCTCTGTCTTATCATGAGTATGATGAAGATGCTATGGGGCTGGCTGGTCATAGGAGAAAAGTGAAATGAAACATGTAAATTCAGGGCCAGGTTCTCATGAGTGCATGTATGTGTTTGTGTTTGTGTGTATGTGTGTGGTATGTGTGTGATGTGTGTGTATGTGATGTGTGTGTATGTGTGTGTGATGTGTGTGTGTGATGTGTATGTGTGTGTGTGTATGTGTGTGATGTGTGTGCATGTGTGTGTGTGTGGTATGATGTGCAGCTGCATTGTCTGTGTGTGTATGATGTGTGTGTGTGCAGTGTGTGTGATGCAGCTGCATTACTTCGGTGTGTGTGATATGCAGCTGCATTGCCTCTGTGTGTGTGTTGGTATGGTGTGCGTGTGTGTGTGTGTGTGATGTAGCTGCATTACTTCTGTGTGTGTGATATACAGCCACATTGCCTGTGTGTGTGTGTATGTGTGCACACGCACGTGTCCATGTGGCTGCTTGGTTTGACTGTTGTAGTTAGGCCATGACTTGAACTGAGCTTTCAGACACTTCCTAAGCTTATTTTGTTGAGCTTCTTGCAAAGTGAGTTTTGGGTCCTGGATCCAGATCTATACAGTCAGCACTGTTAACATTTCTCTTGTCGGTTTGGGCTTCCAGCTTGACTCTATTTTAATCCCTGCTGCTTCCTCATGAAAGCTCTGCACAGGACATGAGCTAGTCAATTCCAGAAACTAACTTGAGTTACAGACCAGTTCAGCTCTAATACCTATAAGTCTCTCTTTTCTGGTACCATGGGACTGAACCCAAGGAATGTCAATTAGATTCTATCCTCCAGCCCTCTGCAAGACTTTTGGAATGTGTTACCATCTTCTTTATGTGGACAATGGAGCTAAGATATAATATACCTCCCATAGATTCTTACAATGATGGCCCTATTCGACATCCAAGAACCCTCCAGATAGCCACTTACCTGTGGCCCTTTTCTCCTTGTGGTTGTTCTCCTTTTCCTTAAAAAGAGAGGAAATAAGATTATGGACACTGCTCTTTCTGCTTTACTTTAGTCAGAGTGCTAATTGCTCTAGTTTGGTTATCCCAACTCTCTGCAACCTCAGGAATGTCATTTTGAGAATAATAAATAGTCTTTAGGAAGTCTCTAGAATGGAGTATCACTGTGAAGACATGGCTTCTAGCTGCAGTGGAGATGCCCTAACCCTAGAGAATAGGCACCTGTATGGCCAACAAAAGTGTCACAATATGAAGATTATTGATTGTTCTCTGTGAACAGGTTCTTCATAGCCATATGGAAGACAAATATTTTATATTTCTCTGCAACAAACCACAGCCTGCCCATGAGCTTTACCTGCTGACATGTTGGGTCCTTGGGTGGGTATCAGGGGTTGGGATAAGTAGTAGAGAAACAGCAAAAGACTAACTATTCATAGGAAATGTAAACATCCATTCCACAAAAGGAAGAGGAGTGGAAGAAAGGACTAGTGTTTGTTTTGTTAGTATATACGAGTGTTTTTGCCAAGTCCTGGATGAAAACATAGTCTTTCTAATCATCAGAGTCCTCACAGTCTCAGCTATGATAGTATATGACTAGTTCTTGCTTTCTTCTTTTAACTTGGGGTTGATAAATCGCAATAAAATTGGTCATTGAAGTTACCCGAATTTGCAGACCCATTCCCCATGGCTCTCCGGTGTTATGACATCATCCTTGTATCAGCCCATGAACATGAGGCCCTGTGGTTGCTCTGACAACCCACCAATTATTATTATTTGCTACACCAAGATCTTTTTTTATGTGAATCATTTCCCTTACAAATGCAGAATTCTGCTGAAGCCCTGAGGCCCTGTGGTATCTCCTGTTCCCATTGCCCATGGTTGAATTCCATTTCTTCTCCTCACTGACCTCCCTCGGGTTCACAGGGGTCAAATCCTGTCTATATTGATTATACTGAATAGCCTTCTAGGGTTTCCAACAGAGCTTATGTTCTACACCAGTTCCAGCTAGAGAGTCGGGAACTTGTAATCAGGATCCTTGGTCTTCTAGGCTTTTCTCTACTGCATTTAACAGAACCATGTTGTTTAATCATTAATCTTTAAAAAAAAAAAAACCCAGTTCTTTGATAATTTCAAACAGTGAGTTTTGATTCACCCCTCACCCAACTCTGTCTATACCTATTCCTTCTTTTCTTCCCACCCAGCTCTGTGTCTTTTCCCCATCAAGGCCAATGGGTGATACCCAAATGTTCTTGGATGCTCAGCTGTAAAGGGAACAGTTAGTTATATGGCTCTCCTCTATCTAAAGCTAAGGAATCACTGTGGAAGAGAGGGTGGGAAGAATGTAAAAGCCAGAGGTGGTGGATGACTACCACAAGGAAAATACGTCATCTGGACACAACAGGGTAGTTGTACATATGAACTCACATTAGCTGTGACAGGATGCATAAGACCCAAGCAAGCCCAAGCCAGACCACATCCCAGCATGGAGAGAGGAGGTGGGCCTGAAGTTCTGCTCCTAACTCAGGAGCAATCATTAAGCTGTTAAGAGAGGAAGGATCAGGTTTCTCTAAGAGTTCAGTCCCTGGAAAGTAGACCAGGCAATAAAGCACTGCCAGACAGGATCATGTTTAAGCCTCCAGGCACTTCATGTTGGACTTTAAATGGAGGCATGTGGCCTTGAGAAAGGGAGATGCCCTGTTCTCTTTGAGTCCCTTGACTGTCACAAGCAGGGGAGACTCTACCTTCTGTGCTTTCTTTACAGAGGCATAATACTTAGACCACCAGTCGATGACATTTTCAGCAGATTCGTCTGCTATAGTCCTCTTTCTTCTTTTAGTGGATCTCCGGGAAGGCTTCCTGGGATCTTGCTAAGGAACAAGAGATAGGTTACTAGTTGGGCCTCGAGTACATGCAGAACCCATCTGGTTAACCAAAGAAGAATCTAGGTATATTCCCAGTGAGAGGTGGACAGAGGTTGGTTTTGTGATAGCAGTTCTCCATGTGGCCTCAATAAATGAACATTTAATTATGTTTTCAACCATTCATTGATTGAGTCAACAGTTATAAAGATGTGGTACACTGCTTGACTTTAGGGATGAAGTGAGGCTTCACCACAAAACCAGAAACCTTTGAGTTCAGTGGAGGAAAGAGACAGCCAAAAAATGGGTACCAGACCCTGCGATACAATGTCATATAACAGGACCATTGGCTGTCTTGAGTTAATAATCCCTGAACAATTAATATAGAATATGTGATTCTCAGTTTTCTCAGCTAAGGTTGATGATGCTAGACTACCTCACTGTGGGAAGTTCGAGTGACATGAAGTAGGAACTCCCCAGTTGGCTTTATTTCTGATCTAAGAAGTTCAAGTAAGTTACATCTAAAATATAAGTGGTGGGTAGTAGGGGTGATTTAATTATATGTAATAACTATAAATACATATTTCAGAAAGGAGGCGTTGGAGAAGACTGTTGTCATATTGGCAGTTGTCCATGGAAGACCCACCATGCACCCATCATCCCTCCTCTGCCCAGAATCTCTAGTGGACCTACTGTGTGCCAAACACTCTATCAAGGACAGGACAAGGACAGGACATAGAAAGACACGATATCAACAAATCATATCCAACCTGGATAAACAGGCTTATAAAACTAGCAGACTCTGAGAGTGAGGATGTATGTAAGAATCTGGTGCAAAGCTGGGGCAATGAGAATCTGTTGAGGGGATGCAGAGGAAGGATGTGACAGGTACCACCTGAGAAAATGTCCATCATCACACTCACTTTTGTATTTCAATTTTTACTGTCTTCTGGTCAAGAAACTTCTTAGGATTTTTTTCAGAGACAGGCTCTCCCTATGTAGCCCAGAATGGCTCTGAACTTGTGGTCCTCTTGCCTCGGCCTTCTGGGTGCTGGCATTACAAGTCTGTACCATTACAGTCCACAAGGAAAAGTTTAAAATGATCTTGTGGTTTGCAACTAAATTTGTGACTTGAGAAGACTGACACCATTTTTGTTCTGTGGCCTTTGGTCCTCCCCATCCTCAGAAACTCCCACATTCTAACCAGGACCAACCCTGCTCAGTTTTAAGGTCATTAGGGATGTTGACACCAGACACCTTCCAGAAGCCCCCTTAACTGAAGATGAAGAATCTTTCTCCTCTTTAGAATTCAAAGGACACATCTTCTTGGTCATGTCTGACCTTGTAGAAAGAAGGATCTAAATGTTTGAGCAGTAGTCCTGCATGAAGAAACTCTTGCCTTTCCAAGCTAATGAATTTGGGAAAGTTTCTGTTCCATTAAATATTACTGTCACATCTGACTAACAATTTAATTTCATACACAGTGACTTTCCAATCCTCCAACAGTACTTTGAGGTAGGCATCAATATCTTCATTGTAAATGAGGAACCTGATACCCAGAAATATGAAATTGAAGACTCAAGGTCACATAGCTAGTAGCTACAGGATTATTGTCTACATTTTCCAATGCACACTCCACTGAGCCTGGTAAATAAGGCCCAGGATTGCCCTGACTGACCTTGACATGTCCATCTTTTGGTGGTCCCTGTGCGACAGGTTTCTGTTCAGGTTCCAGCATCGGAGAGGAGTCAGGGATGTCAACTACTGTGGCTGTCTGGGCCTGAGCAGAGTCAGGTACCACAGTGGGAGGTGGTTCAACATCCACATAGACATGATCTGTTGGGAGATCCTGGGAGGAACTGAGGAGTTCGGTAGACTCGGTTGCTGCTAGTGAATCTGAAATGGCTGAATGAAAACTCATTTGGTCAGGCAGAGAACACAGCCATAATCCATAACTGGATTCAAATATGGCAAGTTCTTGACACTTCTGAACCTCATTTCCCTTATTTCTAGGATGAGATTAAAACCCCATTTTCCTAGGGGGATAAAATTAGACTATGATGTATGCCATCTGATATACAACAGGCAATCAATGAGTGGTGTTATTAATTAGTTATCCCACAGAGAAATTCTGGACATTGGGATCATGAAAGTCAAGGTTTAGGGTATAGGCCCTCTACATTTGTTGTCTCTGTCAATGTATATCTGCAGAGATTTTGAGGTTCAGAGGTCAATGAACCCCGAAGTGGAGGAAGAACACTGGACACATGATCAGACATGCTCAGTGGAGAGCAGAGTTTTATCATTGGACTTTGTGAGAGTCTAACTGGGTCACTGGTGTCATTAAGGGTCATAACACTTGTCGAGAGTTGTCAAATGTCCTCTGCATTTCATGTTGTACAAGTCAGCAATGATGGCCATTTCTCAGTCTGGAGTCTCCATGGTTGCCAAGGCCTCATTCCCCTGGATATGCCTTTCAACAGCAAAGTTAATCCAACAACCTCTTATAGGGATCTACTCAGTGCTAAAGACAGAAACCCAAGCTAAAGTAGACACCCACGGAATAGCAAGACTCCAATAGCCAAACAAGCAAAACTCAACCCTCCAAAATTGGATAGTAGGAGGTGAAGAGGAGGGGGCTAGAGAGTGTGCTGGGAAAGGAGATATAGGGGCTCAGATGCAGTAATGGAGACATGTAGAGTAAATCAGTACAGTCCTTCAGAGCCCTCTGTCTGTATTCAAAACAGTTTTATATATACATTCCTTGGGATCAGTGCTTTCACTCCTGGGTAACTAGGCTGGAGAAATTCCCACAGAGCATCTTCCCTTGGGAAACATACACAGACACTTTTATTACAAAGCTTTTGGTGAAAGTAGAGATTTATAAGCAAACCTGGAGTCCAGTCCAATTGGAAAAAAAGGAAATACAGTAGATGCAATGGATAGTCATAATAAACGAATGAACAGATGACAATATGGATGAATACTAGAATGTAGCATTGAGTGAAGAGAACCAAAAACATTATAACACTATATCATGTGTGCAAACCACATGTGCTTAAATTTACAAGAGGGGCTAGAAAGATGGCTAAGAGTGCATACTGCTTTTGCAGAAGACCTAATTTAGGTCCTCAACACCAACATCAAGTGGCCACAATCAGCTGTCACTTCAACTCCGGGATGTCTGATGTCTTTTTCTGACCTCTCTGGAGAGTGTGTATATGTGTGTGTGTGTGTGTATGAGTATGTGTGTGTATGAGTATATGTGTGTGTGTGTGTGTGTGTGTGTGTGTGTGCGTGCGTGCGTGCGTGGACCATGACAGTGCAGCATTGAGATGAGAAGTGGGATTAACTATGAACCCTTGAGAACCAAAAATGGAACAAATTAAAATTACACCTAGCATTAAGCCAAGAAAAATGGCAGAGACTGGAGGCTGAGGAGAAGAGTTTAAGGAATATTCAAAGATGTTTCAACAGAGGACTTGATTCTGATATGAATCTTAAGTAACAATTTGGCAAGTATGGCAGAGAGAGCAGAGATGTAAATTCATCAGAAAGGCCCATCCAGCCACCTGCACAAACTTTGAGACAGATACTACTGTCCACACCCACAGGCACTGTAACTCCACAGTCCTTTTCGCTCTCCAATCTAGGATGCACTTCCTACCTGGCCTGGCCCCAGCTCCATCCATCTGTGAAGTCAAGGCAAGGGGTTCTCTGGATTTACACAGAAACTGCTTCAAGCAGTTGATGGTGTAAGTGCCCACGAGGGTGCTCCTCCCGAAAGCCCTCCAGTCTACCACACAGATGCTCAGCGGCGGGTGCAGGAGCTCATTCTCAGGCAGCTCCTGCAAGGGAGGTGGAAGGAAAATGGCTCTACCTGGGGTGGCTCTGCTCTGGGCCTGCAGACCACAGGCAAGTACGGCTGGGTGTCTGCTTCCCTTTTCCTGGCCTTGGAATTCTAATCTTCAGAGTTGCTCTGCAGCTTGCCCATACTCTGGGGACAGTCTCCCTAAGCCAGAAAAATAAGCACTGAAACTGTGGGGACTATTTTCTAATACCAATTCATTCCAGGTACAAACTCCAAAATTATTTAAATTGCAAAATCTCCCCCACTCCTGTATTTCTGTGGCGAAATACAATCCTCTTATTTTGTCATTACTGACCACAAGAACCCTCATTTCAAATGACAGCTTAACATGGTCCCCATATGTGAAGCAGATAAAGCTTAAGCCATGAGGCATAGAGCTAAGGGACAGTGCTGTACACATTTGTCTCCCTCAGTGCCCCACGAGGATCCATGACGTCCTCTGTGGAAGGTTGCAGATACTGCATGGGCTTTAGTGTCCCGTCTGATCATTTAGGACTCGTATCTGTGGAGCTGACTGGGTAGTCAGAGAAAACTTCATTTCTGTAGTTAGTTCCAAGCCACACTAAAACTGTGTGAGTTGAAATCTTGAAATGAATAGGAGCGGAGCTTCCGAGAGACACAACTTTTATGCACGAGAGCGACTGACGTTAGAAACACGAAGAATCTTATTTACATGTGGCCATCAAAGTAAGTTTCTACAGAGCATCGTGTAGCCTGCAGTTCTCAGAAGCAACTAGGGGGCTTGTGAAACCGGGAATGTCTGAGCCCCATTCTTTTTATTTTATTTTTTATTTTTTTTAAATGTTAATCAAAGGCTTTATAAGTTTGGTAATGCTCAATAACAAGATGCCCATACAATCAGAAGTGTAACCCAATACCCAACCTAGATATACCAACTATCTTTGACTGGCAGAGACATGCGAACATCTGACTCCATGTTTCCCTCCCTCCTTCTCTTTTTCTCTCTCTTTCACTCTCAATCTCTCTCTCTCTCTCTCTCTCATCTCCTAGCTCCTCCTCCTCTCCTTACTCCTCCTCTTCCTCTCTTTACTCTTCCCACCATAACTCCTCCTACACATCACCCTTCCTGTTAAGACAAAACTTTTCTCTCAAAATACAATTAGAGCATAACTACACCAATTTGTATCAGTAAGGCACAAGATAGACCTAATACCCAGTCCATCATTTTGATGACTAACCAGAACCTCTGTCATCTCTCCTAACTAAAAGACTTAGTTCTGAACCTGGGTTTTTTTCTTGGCTTTAGAATGAATGTCAACTGAAAACCATTCTCTCAAGCCTTTTCTATCAAAATAAATAGCCAGGATTGACTATGAGATTATAAGTCTTCAACCCCGTCAGAAATCCAGAATGACTGAATTAACTGAAATTATGGGAAGCACAAAGCATAGCTTCTAAAACTTAGCCAATTTATAGAGACCACTGAACACCTGGACAGTCCCTATACTACAAAACGTTGGAGCATCTGATCTTCAGCCTTCTGGCCCAGGATCATCTGACAGACCTAGTGATGCAGAATTATTAAGGGCTGATTACTCTGTCTTGGCAGATATAATCAGTCGACTATTCTGCAAGTGTGTCCTTTTCAGGACAGTTATTTGTCTGTAGATGAAAAGAGGCCATTCTTGCCTAGTGGCTGTCTCACCACAACTGGAGTAACTCCAAAGATGCTCAATTTCTTCTTAGAATCCAAGACAGGAAGCTGTCAGGAGCAGATAGGTCTCTAATCAAAATGAACCTTAATGCAGAAATGTTTGTAACGTCAATTCTGTGGACTTCTGACGGTTTGAAAACCAACTATCCATGAAAGGCAATCTGGACTGTTGTCTGTTAACTCCTCTCAGCTATTTCTAAATGGAATATAGAAAACACCCTAAGAATAAATTCAGAGCCATGAATTTGCTATAGGCCCTTAACTCACATCTGAGCCCCATTCTAAACACTTCTGTATTTGGTAGACAAGGCTAGACCTGATGTTCGATATCTTCTTCTTTTGGTGTATGTGTGTGTGGGGGGGGGATGGGTACTGGGCACTGAGTCCAGAGTGTTAGGTAAAAACTCTACCACTGAGCTACACTCCTAGCCCTATCTTTAATTTTTATTATTAAGATAAGGCCTAAGTGACCCAGGCTAGTCTGGAACTCTCTTTGTTGCCTGGTGAGGCCTTGAACTTGTGATCCTCTTGCCTCAGTTTCCTGAGTAGCTAGGATAACAGGCCTCAACCATGATGCCTAGCTGAGACTGTGCTACAGGCAAGGCTGCTGTAGATCAATGCCTCAAAGAACTCTGTATAGGATAATGTTTTCTAGCTTTCTTTGATTTATTATAAGATTTAGACCTGGACATTTGAACAACTGATACCTAATTTTTTTTCTCATTCTGAAATCCTGGCTTTCCATAATTAGGCTACCCATAAAGACAGTATACACTTGAAATCTAGAGGCATCCCCTCTCCTGGCCAAGTGGGTGAGGGAAAGGAACTCAGATGTGAAAAGGGAGATGGGCAGCTGAGGGAGGAGAAGCCCATACCACTTCAAAGGCCTCTGCCTGCACGCTGAAGTTGGGGTTGTTCTTATAACTCTGGATCACGCAAGACTTCACCCCTCGGCCTCCACACTCAATAAGAACCTGTGGCCGGTCCACAGAGAGGAGCTGTACCTTCTTCATTTCTCGGACGCCCCAGAAAAGGACCTGAGGATGGACAGAGTCAGAGAAGAGCCTGGTGTATGACCAATGGAAAAAAACAAATGTGACTCCTGGGAGTGACCGTATGGTCTTCCAGCTGCAACTGTCCAGCTGGTGTTAGGTCCCACCCTGTCCAGTTCAGCTGGTGGGGTCTTCCTGGAGCCAGCTGCCCATCCTGCCACATCCACTCAATGATGCAGGTGGGACCACCCCTTCCCCATGAGTCCTATGGGGCAAGCCCCCCTCCACCACTTTCTGAACCATACCTCAACTCTGTATTTACTCAGTACTGGCCGGATGTTGGAAGGAACAGGATAGATCTGTGTGATGTCCGGTGGGCCAGTAGGAGGGAGGCCCTGCAGCCCAGAAGAAGGGACCTGTCACACAAAACGGCCCTTAGTGAACAGACTCGAGAGACATGAGGAAGAGTAGCCAGGCTCTGCAGCACTTCCTTGGCAAGACATCTTTATGTCATCAGCCTTGAGTACAAGAAGGACCTTGCAGCATATCACCTTCTGTCATTCATTAATGATTGACAAGCAGGTAGTGAGCACTCGGGGTGTGCCATGAGGATGCTAAGACATAGCTTTCAGTGAACTTACAGCAGTAATGGGGAGTGAACCCTCCCACAAGTGTATAGATGTTCACAGCCTGATAAAAATAACATAAAACATATGTATCAATGGATGGAAAGGGGCTGTGACTACATCCTAAGCTTTTGATGGCTTTGCCACCCACTGCCCCGAGAGAGTCCAGAGCTACAGAACAAAATCGTATTTGATGAAATAGAGACTTACTATGGATCGGTGATGCAGAAAATAAAATCATTTTGAGTGTGGAACTTAGGAGGAAAGTGGGTGCTTTCCTGCCCTTGGGCACAGTGAAGCTACAGGACAACCACTATGCTTTGCAGAAATACCCCACACAGAACCTAGAGAAGTCCACTAAAGGTGGGGACTTCCCCACATGTAGGCCATATTGCCTTCTCTTTGAGACCTACCTCGCTGCCCCCGTCTGTCAAGAGCCTTTCTAGGCTGGGTTTTGGTTATTGTGGCCATTTCCTGCTCTCTGTCCTCTGTGCTGTATCTTCTGTATAGGCACAAGTATGGGAATCGGGGGACCAAGTGCAGAAACCAGGCTTTTGTGAGGGACCCTCAGCCACCCCATCTCCACCATACTGTGGGATCCCTTAGGAGCTGGGGGTAAATATTTAAGGTCATAAATGTTTGCCTTTTGGGGTGCATTGCCCAAGCTGACTTCTCAGAACTCTCAGGATAAGGAAACACATGTTGCCTTTTTACAAGGATTTTAAAAATATGCCTTTTGAGAAGATTTCATTTCATTTCAGTTCAGTGTATGAGTGTTTGTGTGTGTGTGTGTGTGTGTGTGTGTGTGTACCTCCAGCATGCTCAGTGCCTATAGAGCCCAGAAGAGGTCATTTGCTCCCCAGGAACTAGCGATGCATAGTTGTAAGTCACCATGTGGGTGCTGGGAACCAAAGCTGGGTCATCTACAAGAGAAATGAATACTTTTAACTGCTGAACCATCTCTGCAGCCCCATACACGTTGCCTTTTAAAAAGCATGTCTATGGGCTGGAGAGATGGCTCAGCGATTAAGAGCACTGACTGCTCTTCCAGAGGTCTTGAGTTCAATTCCCAGAAACCACATGCTGGCTCACAACCGTCTGTAATGGAATCTGATGCCCTCTGCTGAGTGTCTGAAGAAAGCTACAGTGTACTTGCATACATAAAATAAATAAATAAATACGTCTTTAAAAGGCTTTTCTATTAATGATTCTTAGAACCTGGGAATAGTAAGAGTTGGGATGGGGCTGGGCAAGAGATAATTAACACTTTCAGTTGTAGTCGGGGGATAATTACTAATGTCCTAAAGCAGCAGGCCAACATGATTAGCAGAAATTGAGGGTTCTGAATATTGACTCCCCCTTCACCCACACGAAGAAATGATAGATATCTGAAGTACTAGGGACCCCAAGTGCCTTGATCTGCCCGTTCTACATTTGTTAAAAAGCCCTTCCACTTTATAATAGAGTGAGCATGGATTATAAATATGCATGGTTGTTACATAGCAGATGAAAATAGAATCAAAAGAATGCCCACAGTCAGCTCTTTCCCAGTCACTGTCTCAGCTGGTTGTTTCCTATTTGTGACACATGGTACTGGGTTATGTAAGGACACTTTCATACAAGTGCACAGTATTCTCTCACTTTCCCCACCCTCTCCTCTTAGTCCTCTTAGTTCACCTAAAGATTGTTTCACTTCTACTTCTCTGTCTTATATACACAAAGACTTTACATAACGGCATAATCTCTAAGAAATAGAAATAAGAGAAAATGTGCGTGTGGTATCTATCCGTGTGACCTGTAGCTCTTCCATGGCTTTATGATTGAGATGGAGGAGCGGTTAACCTCCCAGCTGCAGTGATGTTCACAGGCAGTGCCAGGCAGCTGGTATCCATCCCCGCTGCACTAGCTTCCCGTTCCAGCTCGTTCTGCAGCTTAGTTATATCTGACCTATTTGGTATTTGTAGCATCTGCATGTCTTTTTCTAGGCTTTCAAGTAATTGGCTTAACAACATCTGCCATGGCCAAAAGAGTATGTCTGTAATAATGAAATGGGGGATGTTCAGCTTTGCCAGTTTTGATGAGCAATCAGTCATTTTCTAGCATTTGGAGTGAATGTGTCAGTCAGCTAGTAAACATTTATCAAGAAGCCACTGTATGTGCAGTACTGCTTAAGGGTTTGGAGAATGAGATGAAGTAAGGAAGGACTTCCTCTTGACCAAGCTTCGAGCCTCACAGAGGTGAGTTATAGACCCCCAAAACAGTATTTAACAGAGCACCAGATCTTGAAGGACCCAAGTATTTCCCAGCTTGGTATCTGAGGCTCAGAGAAGAAAAGTACAGAATCACTCACAAAAGCCTGGTTTCCACACTTGGTTGCCTGATTCCCATTTTTTCACAATGAAATGGGTCAGTATGGCCTGTATAAATAGTATATAGTTGCTTGGTATTTGGGATCCTGGGAAAGGAGGGACTGTTATGAAGGTGATGTAATTCAACTTGGGACAAGTGGAGTGATTTGTTGTGAACAATGATTTGCTCAATATCCAGGGAAAATGAAATATGAGAAACTCACAATGGTCTAGCTACACAACTAGAGCAAAGATGAGGCAGATGGGTACCTGATGTACCCGGTGCAGACATTAAAGAGCTGTTTACTCCCAGAGCTATGCATGACCTTAATCTGAGCCCTGCACATCTGGATAGCTACAGATGTTCAGAAGCCTTTCTCCTCTCTCTGTCTTCCTCCTCTCATCATCCAGCCTTCTCTTACTCAGTTCAAGAATGAAGGACCAGGCCTGGGCTCTCTAACTTTCTAGCAGGATGAACTTGGGAAAGTTACTCTGGATCTCTGCATCTCAGCCCTGTCACTGGTGAAATGGAGACAGTGATGTCCAAGTCGCAGAGTTGCTGTGAAGAGTTGTTGAGGGGCATGTCCAGCACTCACATGCTTTCTGACACTGTGAATTGCTGAGGAGGGGAGGCAAGCTTCATGGGCCTGGCAAAGAGCAAGGCTTGGCTTTAAGTTGTCTCTAGTTGGATGGAGTTGACTCTGGATTGCTGCTCTGTACAGAGGATGAAGTCCTAAGAGATTGTATATCATTGGCATGACCACCACCAGATTAAGGGCTCCGAGCCTCAGAACCATGAGAATGGCAAGACTTCCCCCTGGTCTGAGTATAGATGTGGACAGTGTATAGACAGAGTACCAACCACAGCTTCCTCCTCCCAAGTGTCTACAGCCTGAGACTGCTCCCCTACAGAGAACCCTACTGAGATTAGCTAACCCACATCCTCATTCAGCAGAATATAACACACACTGGCTTTCCAGGATGCTGTTGTGTCTCCATCAGAGTGCATGGCCCACCTGATAAGTTCCAATGCCGTGCAAGGTAAGGCAGTAGTGGTTTCAAATAATTCATAAGTTAAAAAAAAAGTTAGGTTCTCTAGAGAGAAATTATATCAGTTTGGGCTCCAATTTCACTACATTGTCCATTGTGCAATAAAACATGGTATAAAAGAAGGGGACAATGTAGTCACGTACCAAGAGAAAAAACAAACCAAAGAAATAGATCCCGAGGGATTGGGTAATGTCATCATCATCAGACATAAACTCTACAATATACAATGCTTAATGTGTTCAATAAAAGATATGATGAAGGAATGCAGTACAGAATTGAAACCTAAAGTAAAAAGGGAGGAATGGAAATTCTATGACCATACACAGAGCCACCAAGGGAAAAAAAAGCACTTGGTGAAAGCTTACTTTTCAAAGGAGCAATAATAGGACTAATATACAACTTCTCACCAGAGAAGGGAAGTTCAAAGGCAGAGTAGTATTTTCAAAACACTGAAAGAAATTGTCGCCAATCCTGGCAAACAAAAAAAGTCTCAGAGGAAATATATATCCTAGTTCAAGTAGCAAGTGTGTGTGTGTGTGTGTGTACGCGCACATTCCAGCTAGACACAGACCTTAGTCACCAAGGTGATGTTGAAGCAGAAAGTGCTTCCCAGGAAGGAAATGTGAGGGCAAGAATGCACATGTACTGAATGACATGTTAGCCAGCAGTGGAGGCAAGTGCCATCTCTATGATTAGCTAATGACTCAAGAAGTCTCTCCTGGGCCTAAGCAGAGTCTTCTAGAAGGTCTTAACACTATGCCAGAGTCTTCCTTCTTGTTCTGATGACCTATCTCCAGCTTATTTCAGGTGAATGTCACAATTCAGATTAGTAGATCATTAACTGATAACTTTACATCAGGGAGAACACACAGAGATGCTGTGTAAAACTAGTCCATTCACTTAAGTTAGACCACCAATGAGATGGTTTAACGAGCAACAAACGTGAAGGAGGAGAATCTTCCTTTGCTCAACCCAGTGAGGTTTAAGTGAAAGGCAAGAGCAATATAGCTTTTCCTTGATCTGTATCAAAGGGATAAAAATTAAAAATAAATTTTAAGAAGAGGGCAAAGCTCACATGATGGTAAGTGAAAGCTTTGTTCCTGGCGCGGGGCATGGGATCTAAGAAGGCAGATACGCCACCTAGGTTGATAAACACTGCATTAAACAACTCCAATGGGCTCTACGCATGAACTAGAGAGAAATGGTCCCTTCTTGGGATGTGTAGTGACCCTGCTCTGTAGTAAGATAAGAGAGCACTTCTGGAATTTGGAAAGTATGGTAGACAGATAGTGGTAGCGAGATCTGTGTTTTGTCTGCTTAGAAACATTCCTCGGGAACACACCCACACACAGTAGACACTGCATAAATACACGTTTGAATGTAAGAATCGATGAACCAAGCAATCCTTGCCTTCCACAAGCTGACACAGCGACCGAGGAGGGTAAGACTGTTTCAGTTGCCTACAAACAATGGCAGTAACTGAATAGAGAAAGAGCCAAAGAACAGGATGGGAAGGGGGAGAGCATTTAGACTGAGGTGGAGTGGGCAAGCTGGAACAGAAAACCATTGCTCTGAATAATTTTGAGAATTCTTATCGGTGGGTAAATGGTTCTGTAGGAGCTGAGGTGGGCAAAGTGGGGAGACACTTCAGAATGAGTTAATAGAATGCCCAAGAGCAGAAGAGACCCAGGAACCCAGAGAGGCTGGGCATGAGAAGGTCATAGTGTCTGTAGGGTAACTTGAATATTAATAAGTGACACTGAGAAAGTAGTTTGAGGACAACTTTGAAGACAGCTTAAAAGCCAGACTGAAATTTTGATATTCATGTGCAGTGTAGATTTTTCTCTTCATGGAATATTAGCCATTATAATAAAACAAATAAAATAAAACCAAAATGGTATTGTAGTTACACTTGGAAATACTAGGTTTTGAAAATGTTCTTCAGAGAGCCTTTTTAACCACAGTAGCAGGTATTTCAAATCCCAACGAGAATCACTTCTCAAACTCTGTTCTCTGCATTTGGAGGAACTGGCATTTTCTTTTTAAAAGCAAAATCTGGTAAATAGTCTTGTAGGTAAGGAGTGGGAAGCAGCTGAAGAGAGAGGCATGGTCAACTAATGTTTTGTAAGGAATGTGGAGAATAATGAGGAGAATGATTCACAGAAGGACTAGAAGATTCTGGAAGAGAAGACGAAAAACAGGCATGGAAGCAGCTGCGGGCTGGTCAGGCCATGGGCATAGACACCATAACAGAATTCTGATGGCTTTGGGTCCTCAGCCAGGGATGGACTAAGATCGGGAAGACAGGGTACAGCTAGCATGGATGGCTGATGGCAACAGTGGATCTGATGGGTGTGAAGAAAAGCCACACCATCAACTCCTGAGTCAGGGGAGGGTCTCAGCATGGGAAGGAGGGAAGTAAAAGCAAGCCTTGCACAGACACAAAGAGGTACCAGCTGTGACAAATAAAGGCCAGTCTAGTCTCAGTGTGCTCAGCACGTCTGACCTCCACCTGCTAAGACAGTCACTCTGATGTTCAAATTACTTTTGAACAAGTAATTAAATGAAAAGTCATCATTAAACCCTGACTGATTGCATCTCCCAAGCTTCCAACCTCTGACAACGCTCCTCCGTAGGTCACCTGTTGGGAAGCAGCAGGTGCCTCAACAGCGGGCCTGGTTCTGAGAGAGGAGGTGGGTGGGACCATGAGTCCTAGATGGCAGAGCTCTCAGATCATCTTTAGGGGTCTACTTGCTCAGCCCTCATTGAAAAACTTACTGAGAGACTTGTAGACCCGGGCTAAGAGTGCTTATAAACACGGCTGTGAGTTTGGAAGAGTCGCTACCTAGATCCAGCTCAACCAACCTGGAACCTGAGCATTTTCATGCACAGTGTGGCAAACCAGGTCTAGTTCCCCCAAGACACCCATCACCTCCCTTGATGGTTCATGCTCTAGTGGCCTTAAAAAGAAAGTGAACACAGTTATGGTAAAACAAGCTAGTTAACCCAGAGCTGGGCGAGATGTGCAGTCAGAAAAGTGCCTGCCATGCAAGCATGCGGACCTGTGTTTGATTTCCAGCATCTGCCTAAGAAATCTGGGCATGTCTGTAATCCCAGAGCTGGGGTATCCCTGGAGCTTGCTGCACAGCTGGTTTAGCTGAATCAGCTACAGGTCCAGTGAGAGGCTCTGTCTCAAAAAAAGTGGAGAGTGATTGAGGAGAGCATCTGACACCCACCTCAAGGGCTCTACATGCACACATACATGTGCACATGTACACACCCCCACATATAAATACATACACATATGTACACATGCACCAACACATATACACAAAAACTCTAGTGGGAACAAGTGTTAGTGAAATATGTAATATGAAGCAATTACATTTCCCCACTCATTAGATTTGGAGGAACTAATGTTCCAAGAAGACACAGGAAATAGCTTTTCTGTGGCCATTGACTCTGAAGCTGCTCTTTCTTGGGAAGGGAAGTTGTAAGTTGATGTGATGTTATAGGAGAACAGAAAACAAAGCCTTCCTCTAGAAGTGGGGATGGCAGTAAGGGCAAAGCTACTTATGTCTGGATTCAGTGTTGTTTGGTGTCTGCCTAGGTTTGAACCAGAACAGCTTGCTGACAGCTCTCATTTGAGGGAAGACTGGACCAGCTGGTTGGGAAGGTTGCCTTCCATTCTGACACCCACACATCTGGGCAGCACACACCTATCTGGCTACAGATAGTTTTATTGGAGACCACTTGGGCTGATCATCCTAGAACATCCTAGCATCCTAGAACCTAGTGTTTGTAAGACAGCTTTTTCTAGTTCTACTCTCCTACCCTGCTAGACTTCATCTACTTGGAGCTGAGTCAAGCCAGACCTTGAATCCCCATGACCTCACTCCTCCTTATGCAGGCTCAGTTTCCCTGGTAGAGTTTAATCTTCCTCCAAAGTTGTCATTTTCTCTATTAAAAGTTCTCCCTTAGGTGACTTAAAACACAGATAGGAGTCTGATAAGATGGACTTAGGAACATATCAGTGTTGGCAATTGTAACCTCCAGTCTGCAGATGTGAAGAGAATTTGAGTTCAGATACAAGTCCATCTAACCTAAATGTCCCCTTAATCATGAACACAGTTGAGCACTCCATTTTGGTTAGAAATTTGTCTACCTAGAGTCTAAATTTGGACCTATCATGCTGACCACATAATTGCCTTGCTATCCACTTCAATTTCTAAAATCAATAGCTGGAACCACAGATTTTGCTTTGGTATCCTATAACATAGAAATATTAATAATAATAACAAATATTATGCATAGACTGCTTTATACAAGATACTTTGGGTAGGCTTATTAATGTCCTACATTTCTAAACAGAGAACGCCACATTCAAACAAATGATAAGTCTGAGATTTATAGCCATGGGGTCTAGTTCCCCCCACTTTCATGTGCATTCATGTAGTGTGTGCTAGGGGTGTGTGCCTTTCACTTTCATTATCAAGTGAGTTGAGTTTTGTTTTATTTTAAATTGGGATTTCTGAAAATCAAGTTTTCCTATGAAAGGTTTTATTCGCCCAGTGTCAAACTTGGATGTTCAAACCGTAACTCCACCGCAATGGCATTTGGAGGTTCAGCCTTAGAGAGGAATCCAGAGCCCTTGTGAATGTGGTCAGTTCCTTACAATAAGAGACCTAAGGAAGAATGTTATTCTCCCTCCCACAGGAGGGTACAATGAGAAGGCAGCCACCACACACCAGGAGGGCAGATCTATCAGTGTCTCCTTGGACATCCAGGCTCAACTGTGAGAACATGTAACAAGCAATGTTTGTCATTTAAACTGCTCAATCAGGGTCTTGTTATGGCATCCTGCATGGACTAAGATAAAGACAGTCCTGATCCCAAAGAAAAGAGCCACCAGGACCTGGTGCCTCAGAAAACGTAGGCTCTGGGAGAGGAATCTCTGGCGAGCCCAGATGCTCCCTTCTGATTTATCCTCTTCAGGTCCTACTGGTTCTCTACTGGCCAGCCACAATTCAGAAACTCAGTTTCCGTTCCTCTGAGAGAGTCTTTGTACACACACACACATACATACACACACATACATACACACACACACACACACAGAGAGAGAGAGAGAGAGAGAGAGAGAGAGAGAGAGAGAGAATCATATACACACACACAGGAACACATACACACAGGAACACATACATATACACAGACATATACGCAGACATACACACAGACACACACACACACACACAAACACACACACTCCCTCTAGGACTTGAAGGAAAGGCTAGGAGTTCTTTGACTTTGGGAAGCAATGTGATATGGTGAAAGTAGAAGCTGTCAAGGTCCCCCTTCAGAGCTCAGCTTCACTGTCTATCTACAAAAGGAGATGAGGTTGGCCAAGTGCATCAGCCCAACTCTCTAATGGGAATGTGAGTCTCCAGAGGCTTGAGGGGATCTATGAAAGATATGAGATGCCATGGCTGTAACATCATCCAGGCACAAGGCAACTACCCCACAAATGTCCGATGGCTTCTTTTTCATATCTGTGTACGGTCTGTTAGAGCAGAGGGACTCTGCTGTAGCTCAAACACTGATGACCCAACCCTGAAGGATCTTTTCCAGATCCTTCTTGATTCTGATTTGTGGTGCAGTAGTTCTGGGAGTAACTCGTGTTATCAAAGTTTTTAAATGTCAGTTTCCAGATGCCCGGAAGGAGACACCCACAGACATGGGATAGCAAGGGATGGATCAGGTGTTGCTTCACTAAATAGCACATCCAGGGAAGCTGCTCCTCGGGCCAAGTGGAGCAGAAAGACATCTGGTACACGTGCTCTGGACCTCTTACCTGCAGCAGCTCAAACACAGCCAGGAGGTCCCCTCCAGAGAGGTTCCCACAGAAGATGGGGTGATAGCACAGCTTGGGGGGCTCATAGATCTGGTCAGCCAGTGTCACAACTGGAGCAGCCACCGTGGCACCCAAATATTCTGGCTTTCCCTAGAGAAGGAATGAGGTTTTGATTGACATCCGGCCTGCATCAGGGCAACTTTACAAATCATTTTTACAAAGTTAGCAGTTAGTAGCATCAGCTCACCCCACAACCCAACTCGTGGCTTGGGGGAGGGCACGCTCAGGTTCCCAGTGACATGCTGAGAGGATAACCTTGGGGGCTCCCTAGTCCAAGACTCCTTCCCTAGAGAGACTGATTAAAGTAACCAATCAGAGGAGACTGGGGGGGAGGGGAGGAAAATGTAAGAAAACAACAAACATTCTAAAGGGTTTCTGTGGTTGACAGGATCGTGCACTTCAGATATAAGTAAGCGCAAATCTGTAGGCTCAAATCTGCTTTTTTCCCCATGTATGTGTGTGTGTGTGTGTGTGTGCGCGTGTGTGTCCTAAGTCAGATACTCAACCTTTATGAGGCTTGCAAACAAGGCTAAAGCTTTTTATCTGTTCATAACATCCTAAGAATTGATGTAATCTTGTATATCGTTTGTACTATGTACATGGTAATGGACTGCTGATGGCAATGGACTCTTTTTCAAATAGAAAACCAACTCTTGTGTTGGGAAGCTTGTTCACAGGAAGGAGAGTAAAGGGTATTTACTTTGTGGGTCATCCACCAGAAAATCTGTACTTCATGCAGAACAGGGGAAGCTACATTTCAAAAATACATAATTCAGCCTCAATTTAAAGCAGGGAGGGAGGGGCAGAGGGATGGGGATAATGCACTCACAGCCATCAAGTATGCAGGAAAGAGTAGATCTAGAAGTTGTGTGTTCAAGTCCTGACTCTGCCTCTTATTAGCCATGACCTTAAGGCATCTGAACTTTCCAGATCTGCCCTCCTTTCTACAGAGCAAGAAGGGCAGGACAAGCCTTCATGGTCTCCATGGTCCCTACAACTCTTGTGAGTCTCCTGTTTCTTCTCTGACCTTGGCCCAATCCAGAGCACACTGAAGCATAAGAAGGCTTTGGAAAAGCTTTTCAAAACAACTGTTGTATGTTATAGATTCTACCTGAGGAGGCAGGGATGTGAAATAAAAGATCTACATCTTTGTCATCCATTGTAGACTTCTTAGAGAAAAATGCTTGTCTTAGTCACTTACATCCATCAGTCAGCTTTGGGGGTTACCTGAAGTTTCAGCACACAGGCGTCATTGAAGAGGAAGAGATTTGGTTTATAACCAAAGAGGGCCAGGATGGATGTGGGCTTGCAGGACTAAGCAGCAGCCAAGTCAAAGAGAGTTAGTTACAAGGCTGAGTCAGTGAAGATGGCCATGCATTTCCCTCCAGCCGGGCAAGTGCAGCACAAGCCTGTTTCCAGAAGGCTTAGAGGCATTCTATATGATATAGCAGTCACATGGGACTAGCTGGGGGTTTGCCGTAATTGTGGGTGGGCTTAGGCGAGCATCACATCGTTATGAAAGTGGGTGTTGACTAAACTCTGCTAATTCGATGTGATTTTGAATGTGATTTAAAAGAACTCTAAATAAAGGAGCGACTGGTGCATCACGGTGTGCTGAGGTCAAAACCACTTCTGGGTGCGTCAAGGGTCCTGAGCACTCAGCATCAGGACCCTATTGATGTTCAAATAAAGGCAGTTCGTGCAGTAGAGCGTTTGGAAGGTGTAGTCAGAGTTGCCTGGCGACACGTACCACCGCATCACTGTCGTAGAGTTCCACCACCACGAGGGGTGGGGACTGCATTAGTTCCCTCTCTTCGCCATGCAGAACCAAGTCATTGAATAGAAGCATCTGGTTCCAGGTAGGAGAGAGAGTCTGGGAAATGACCTGGCAGAAAACAACAAAGGAACCGTTTAACAGTTGTTCAACAGAAACATGAAGGGTATGGAAAGTTCACGGCTACTGTCTATTAAATGCAAATCCCCAGTCTCTAGAAAACTTTGTATTCATAATGTTTTATTAATGGAGTACCGCTTAATGAGTATTTGCATAAATAATTTGCATAAGTAATTTTAATTCACCCTGGGACTATGATGCCATCAGTTGTTCTCTATTGAGTGCTTATTGTCTACTACCTACTGCGCATGCACTGTCTCATTTAAACCTTGAAATCTTTCTGAGTGCTGTTGTTTTTGTGCACGTTAAAGAAAAAAAAAAAAACAGGTTCACATGTCCAGAGTCTACAGATTGTAAACAGAAAGTCCATCTGGATCATCCACTTTCACCAGACTATACCACAAAATCTCTACTTTAAAGTTCTCCTCCACTGAGAACAGGGGAGGGGATCAAATACAACCAAAGTCCCTAATACTGACTTTCAAATCTCATCTATTTTATATCGAAGTCTACAGCTTTGTGGCTATTCATTGACTACTTTGAATAGTCCAAAGTCTTTAGAACAACCCTCACCATGTGGCATGACATTTCTTTCAGAGGAGTTGCTTTGGCAGCAAATAGTGATATTGGTAGTAGGCTGTACCCATCATACAGATGGAGAAAATAAAAATCTAGGAAGGATGATAGTTTGAGACCATCAGAGTCTCACCAGAATTGGCCAATAGCTTTCTTCCCAGGATGGTCAAGAGGAACTTTTGGAAGAGAGAATGTTACTTAAATTTGAATTTTTTTCTCTGTTTATTTAGACATTTGGAAAGAGGCCAGTTTCACAGAGCAAAAGGCTGAGTTGTTTGCAAGGTAGTTGTTTCCCGCACCTGGACAGACACTGCCCATCAGTATTTGGCGCTTGTACTGGAAAGAGCCCGTGGTCATAGCTCTCTCCCAAGCTGTGCAATCAAATGGGTTTCAGAACTGAAAGTGTTCCACGGCTGCTGGATCCTCGGGAAACTTCCACAGTACCTCTGAACTGTTCCTTACTCACTGTTGTCCACTCCAGGAGGGTGGAAGAAAGAACTGGCCTGCGCTAACCCTCAGACTCACATAAAACTGCCAGCCTAATTATACATCCAGTCAGCTCCAGTTACAGCACTAAACTGTTCGCACTGTGGTCACGGAAGGATTTCTTTATAGCTCTTTATGAAAGCCATAAAAGTATCGTGTGGCTGCAGTTCACCTCCCTTCTTGAGTTTTTATTTTAGAATATTTCATGTCTCAGGTACGATGAAGTTTTAAAATGCCTCTGGGGAAATCTACCTTTTCTGACATAAAAAGAACCAAAGTTCAACCAACCGATAAACAGAAGTGACATGGTTGCAATGCAAAGTCGCATGCTTTGTGTCGCTTTTGAAGAGACAGGTGAGCTCTCTGCGGCTTGCGCTTGACTGACAGAGTATTGTCAAAGCAGTCTATGATCTTCACGGCATCTCCGCTCTAGGAGCATTTGAATCACTTCCTTCCCACATGACTGGCAGTGCCATTGAATAAGACTCCAGAGGCCAGCATTCATTCAGTCCTCATTCACTCATTCATCATTAAGGCCAGCATTCATTCAGTCTTCATTCACTCATTCATCATTAAGGCCAGCATTCATTCAGTCCTCATTCATTCATTCATTCATTCATCATTAAGGCCAGCATTCATTCACTCATTCATCATGTAAGGCCAGCATTCATTCAGTCTTCATTCACTCATTCATCATGTACCTACTGTGAGCTAGACCTCTGCATAGTGGGTGCTTGACAGCCATTTGCATGAACAGATGAGAGGGAACTAACCTGTCCTCCAAGTTGCCATCATATATAAAATGTCACCTAGTCCCTTTAGAGCAGTACTTAATGACTCACCCAAACAAGCATCTTCCACTTCTTTGCTCAGCTACCCATGATTAGCCTTGTTTCTTAAGGGCTTCTTTAAGGAACCTCACACTGAGCTGAATTTCAAGCAGTTCAACCTGTGGGCTGCAACCATTGGAAAACACATATTTCCAATGGGCTTAGGACATGAGACGCTACTAAGTAGCAAAATTTCAGTCATGAAGTAGTAACAAAAATACTATTATGGTTAGGGGTGTCGCCATAACATGAGAAACTGTATTAAAGGGTCACAGCATTAGGAAGGTTAAGAAGCACTGGGTTAAAGCATCATTTGGAAGTTGAGGGTAAGGCTTAGCTGACACTGAACGATTAGTCAGATCAGCTGGACAGAATACAGCAGTGGGAGCAAAAACCCTAGATGGAATCCAGGTTCAATGAACTATTCTATGCACAGGTAACTTAATGTCTCCAAAGTTTAGTTTCCCTTCTTTAAATGGGCCGACACCCATTTGTCTGAGGTAAGGAGTATTTATTGCCTGGCATAAATATTGTTTGCAATTGCTTGCTCAGTAAGCAGCCCTCCCTAAATGTACTCCATCTCAGTCCACATCATAAGTGAGCCAACACTGAGGGCTAGGGGTGTGGCTCAGTAGTAGAGCACCTGTCTAGTATTTGACAAGTCTGGGGTCCAATTCCTTGCATATCACACACACACACACACACACACACACACACACACACACCCATAAATGCCTACCCTATGACAGCCCTGGTAGACTGGGTGAGGCTGTCTAATTGCCATGTCTTCAGGATTAAGCATCAGTCTCACTGTTGGGAACAGCAGGCTTCACAATCTCTACTGTCTAAGATGCCCCCACCCCTTCTCTTTCTCTCCTCCCTTATTTACATCTGACTCCTCTCTTCGTCAGCTCTCAAACCCTTCCTGTGTAGGAGCCTTTCCTCCTTTCCCTTTATCCTTCAAGCCCTAGTTCTCCATAGCATCTTCAATAACTGGCCTCCCTCTGAAAGTAGCCCAGTACCTGAACAGGAGATGGAAACGTGGGAGCTTTCTAACTGAAATCAAGACAGAGTGACTAGGCAAATGTGATCTCAGAACTGGTGAGACCAAGGTTTCCATCTTGGACCGTCTCCAAGCTGTACAGTCTCTGATTCTCATTTCTTTATCTCCAGAATGGGAACACAAGAGCATGTGTCCCTGAGTTACATGAAGGGTACTAAATAATGTACAGAAAATCCTTAGTGTTGTGTCTGGCATGTGAGAGCTTTGAATAGGTGACAGCTGTTGTTATTATTAGCAAAACTGGGGTATTTGATTCAAAATTAGAGGCAGATCCAGGGTTCAACAGAGCCTATTTCCCTTTCAGATGATTATTTGATAAACCAAGTCCATCTGTTCCTTTGAGCTATGAATCTAAATTAAACCAAGATGTTGTATGGAGATGAAACCCAGCAGGATAGTTACATGGCTGTCCCATGAGCTCACTCAGACTTCCCCAGGGTCACTCCAGAGGCTCTGGAATTGCGTAGTTGAAGCACATGGATGGTCCTTGGGTCCACCTTCTGAGAACACTCTTGTTTGGGGATGGCAGCTGCAATAGCAGCCATTACAAGCTGTCAGGTAGAAGCTGTTTTAAGCCATTGACATTTCATGCTTTGTGAGGGAGAGGTATATGTTGCTCCCATGACTATCACAGGTGAGGAAGGGAGACCTAAAGGTAGAAGATCTTGGATTTGGATCAGGAAAGTGGAATTCCACAATTATGTATTGATTTGGTGTGTGTGTTTGTCAGGGGTACATGAATATGTATCTGTGTACATGTTTATAGGGATGCATGTATGCACGTTTGTAGGAGTGCATGTGTGTGCATGTTTGTAAGGGTTCATGTACATGTATGCATGTTTGTAGGGCATACAGGTGTGTGCAAACACACATGCATGTACATGTATGTGAAGGCTAGAAGGCAACCTCTGGCATCATCCCTATGAAGCCATCTATCTTGCTGTTTGAGACAAGCTCTTTCACTGAGATAGGAGTTGTCTGGCCAGTGAGCCCCAGCAACCTGCCCATCTCCATCCAGACCCCCAGTGCTAGGATTAGAGTACACACCATCATGTCTGGCTTTTTACCTGGGGCCCTATCGATAAGCTCGGATCCTCATGCTTGTGTGGCAAGCACTTTACAGACAGTCCTATGTCCTGGACCCTCTCCAGGACCCATGTGCACAGTCATCACTGTTTGTGTCCTCTCAAAAACCAGCAAAGAGGAAGGCCTTCTGCCTTCCTGTTCCCATTAGATAATGAATGAGGACGGACACACCTTTCCTCCATGGTCTCTCTGAGACAGACGAACCCATCTCTCCATGTGGCTCCCATAGGCCTTTGCTCAGCCCTGTACATAGGGCTCGGCACAGTACAACCAGCCCATCTGCCTGAAGGACTACATGTGTGTCTGCCTCATGCATTATACAAGAGCAGGATCTCTCCCAACCCCCACCCTAGAGCCCACGCAGAACCAGTATTCAACAGGAACTAGCTAAATGGATGTGATGTTAGTTCCCTTCACACTCTCAGCCTATGTGTGGTAAATCAAAATATAGTTGAATCCATCAACTGGGTCATAGGGGTCTTGCAGAAAAGTGTGCCCTCTTGACATCAGCCAGTGTAATGGCAGCCACTCTTCCATCATTTACACACATAACTTTTCACTTCTCCACAACAGTTCTTATTTAGAAAGACAGAACTGGGGTCTAGCAAGCCATTTGTCTGGAGACATGCAGCTGCAGGGTAGCTGAACCACAGGGTGACCTTGCGTCTTTTTGTTTCCCACTTCTCTGCGAGGACCAATTCTATATGGTCTTGTCCATCTCTAGTCAACAATTCGAAAACAGGTAAGGTTTTGGTGACTATGACCCATTGGGAAGATCTGCAAGACTTGTGCTTACTGAAAACCCCTTTCTGAGGTAGAGCTTGGTGTGTGAGACAGGGAGGAAGCAAGGGAAACAACCACCTGCCCATCTCCTGTGACACAGCACCTGTCACCAAGAGGGGAAAGGTCAACATCTGTAAAAAGCACCCTAGCTGCTAAATGCTGAGGTAAAACTTCCTGATCAGAAAGCTAAACCCTTCCTCCCCAGCAGGTCCCCTTGAGGTGATGATAGACTCAAGTCTCAGTGTCTGGCACCCCTGCAACTGCCCAGGGTGTACCAGGCTCTTCAGTCTTTTCAGCCCTTGTCTTAGCTTTAAGTCTTGTCCATCTGCTTTAGCACAGTGGCTCATAGAAACCAATAGACCTCTCCTGCCTGTCCTTCTTGACGCAGATTGGCTTCTGTGTCTGCAAGACTGGAAGCTGCAGAGGGAAGGGGCGGGGTGGAGTAGGGAGGGGTGACCCTTATCTTTCTTTCCCAGGTTCTGCCAAGCAACAGCTGTAGCAGCAGCAGCAGCGGGAACGCTGCTCTCTGGTTACCTTTGTGGTCTGGCACTGGGACAGGAATGTGACTTTGGCAAAGGGATCTGAAAGTCCATTGCTGTCAGCTGCGATGAGGCCCCGGGCTTGGTACATGTGTGCTCTCAGCTGAAAGACATGCTGGGCTGCAGAGGAATTATAGAAAGGGCAAGTGTTAATAGGCTTTTAGGAGTGGTATGTGTTTCTGTGTGTTTGCCAGTGACAGGTGGCTGTGTACCCCCAGACAGACAACAGTGATACCAGCCCTGCCTTCCTCCATGGCCAGGTGACAGTGTGGAGACAGGAGAGGTGCTAGTGTCAAGTACTTTAGAAACACCCCCCCATGAGGTTTTGCCACTTTGTGTATCTTAATTGTCACCACAGCAACCATGTGAACTATGTAATTATCTACCCATTCATAGATGAGGAAAATGACCCAAAAATGGATGATATAATTTCTCAGGTGTGCAGAGCCGATTTTTCTTCTGCCTAATTCCAAAATTCACCTTTCCCCCACTAACATGTCATAGTTTAGCAAGCTTAAACAAGCAGCATGATTCCCTAGAATGTCTTGTTTAGGAGTGTGTGTGTGTGTACAGGTGCATATGTATGTGAGCACACATGCATATACAGGCTCATACACCAGTGCAGAAGGCTGCTTTTCAAATAGCTTTTACTTCGATAAACTCAATAGACATCATGAATTGTCCATTCATCTCTTCTTCTAATTTGCCAGCCAGTGACTTTTTGTAGAGCTTTTCCGTCTTAGTCTCTAAGGCACTGTAGATAGTAAGGGAACTAAGAGAGTCCCCTGTCCTTGAAAGCTCCCAGAGAAAAGGCAGGAGATGAGAGGGGAAGCCACATCACAGGGATGGGAGGGTGTGACTGAATGAATGGTTGTGAGGGGTCGTAGCCAAAGGCCCTGAGAGACAAAGAGCAGGAGTGAGCCCATGCTGGATAGAATGGAACACACACACACACACACACACACACACACACACACACACACACACAGAGAGAGAGAGAGAGAGAGAGAGAGAGAGAGAGGTCTGAAGAGGTCAGAGTTCATTGGAGAATGACAGTTCAGCTGATCACAATCATGGGACCTCAACTACCCCTGAATCTTCAAGCTCACCTCTTGTTTTCATATCCCCCATTCCCTTTTGCCTGTTTACCCACCCATTCCCACATCTCTGAAAGGGATGGTGTTAGTATAATCCATGCCTTTGTGTTGGCATGAGGACTTCCATGAAGAAACCCTTGTGTACCTATTGAAATAGCTCTGCTTACTTAAACGAAGAACACAAATACTCTATGAGTGTTCCCTCACCCAACCTTCATCAATCCCCTCCAGCAACTTCTAGTGATATGCCACACATGTCCGCACAGGAACTTGAACACAGTCATCTGTAAAATGAAGGCTAATTCCCCATTAGGCCCTTATAGGAGGCTAAGGGCTGAGGGAGAACAGTGCCTGGCACTAGGAAGTTGCATGAAGATGCTAGGATGCTGTTCCTGTTGATTGTTGCAGTGTTGTCCATGGAGAAGCTAGAAGCAACCTGGGAATCATCACAGCAGGATAGGAGAAAAGTCAGGCAGCTTGCTTAAGCAATTAGAAAGACCATGTTGGAAGTGTGCATAGCAAAACAGCAGGATCTCAAGGATCTAATATATAGTGGGGAAGAGAAAAGCAGAATAACATGAAATCATAACAATTTGTTCCTGTGAAGTAAGATGATACACAGACAAGAGAACAGCTCATAGTCACCAAAGCACATTCAAGTCCAAGGGAGCTAATTCTAGGGCAGTGGCGCTGTCCTTTGAGCAGAGACCTTCAAGGTGGTAGCGTTTGATAGGCAGGGATATGAGCCTTAAGTGACTGTAGCAAGGATATAAGATTAGTCAATTTAAAAAATCAGTAAGGTCATTTGGAAGAAAAACTGTTGGCTACTTTGAGTGGAAGTAACAGTCAGAGACGGTGGAACTCACATGACCTCAGACCTTGGAGATGTACATGAAGCATTGGAAAGTGCAGTCACATGGTACTCTTGAAGAGGTGTGTGTGTGTGTGTGTGTGTGTATGTGTGTGTGTGTGTGTGTATTTAGGGACAGATGTTCCAAGTAAGATGTCAGGAGGATAAAATGGTAGGTCAAGCTCTCAGTGGACAGAAGAGATGTAAGGGCTGGATCCAGGCAAACCACAGTGCCCCCTGTAGGTGAAAGTTTGAAGGGCCAGATCACCACACACTGGAGAGGGATTAAAATGAGAAATGGGAAAGACTTTGCTGCCCTATGTAGATGGTGGCAAACAATTCTGACAGACACAGACAAGGTGTGGAGGGACAGGGAAGGCAGGATGTCAGAGGTAATTCCTTAGCTGACTGTTATGAGACCTGAACATTGCTCTCTCTCTACCCAACGCCACTGTCTGGCTTACGTGAGGACCAGCATGGAGCCTAAGAATGTAACAACCTTTTCAATCCCCAACCTAATCCTGCAGGCAATCAGGAAGCCCGAGCTGTGCACACTGCCCAATTACATCCATGTCAGTTCTTCCTGTGAAAGGCTCTGCAAACTCCAAGCAAGTCAGTGGAACGAGAGACGTGATTCTTGGGGGGCTCAGTTCTAAAGCCCTCCGTGTCTCCATAGACACCAATTAGCTCTGATGTTGACAGGCTGGGCTCTGCTGACAGGAAAGTCCCTTAAAATGACAGCGGTAAACAAAGCGGTACTCAGCAGATGTTACAGGAACATGCTGACAGGAGTCAGCGGGGAGATAGCCATGTGTTACTTCACGTACTACCGAGTGCAGCAGATCTCTTAGCCCAACATGGGATGGTCTCATCCCTTGAGAGAGTACCCACCGGCTGCCCTTGAGATGACTAAATCCTGAGATTGTAGAAGCTCTTGTAAGCAGCACATTGCACAACTCTAGGGGGTGTCATTTTCTTAGCCTACATTTCAGGTTTCTTTAGAAACCTTAAATCTTACTAAGTTCTGTTCCTCAGAGTAGTCTAGCTTAATCCCTCATGCAGTGGGGTCCCATCTCCTGCCCCTTGTGGTTTTTAAAGCCACACCCGGATGCCCCACTTGAAGCTAGGATCCCCTCTTACTCCTCACTACACCCCCTGCCAGGTTTTCCACCAGGCCTTCCGTATATAGATGCAAGGTAATTATTGCTGAACGGCTCGCCTCTGGAGCATAAAATTCACCAGTCGGATGGAAGGCAGCCAACGCCACCAATGTCAGTGCTCAGCAGAAGGTCATTAGGTAACCATGAAAACGACACGCTGCATAGCATCCCAAAGCCCCGGAAAGGCCTCTCCTCTGGGTTGTTAGTAGCCGAAACAGTGAACATGTCCGGGGCTTTGTGTCTGTGTAGATGTTTCTATCTACAGAGACAGGAGCTAACTTGATGTGGGTGTTATTTGCTCAAAGATAAAAAGCTCTCAGTGGTTTAATGGAAGGAAGATAAGAAAGTAGTGTTTGGAAATTTTTTTTTTTTTTTACCAACCCTTCAGCAGATGAGTGATCTCATGCAATTTCTGGGTGTCTCAGAAAATGTATTCTCCCCCTCTGTGAATTGAAGGATTCTCAGGGTTGAACAAGATCTTTTGTGTAACATATACAGTACAATGCTTGGCATTTTGTGCTATGTATTTTCTCCTAAAACAACTCAGAGAGTCTGACTGCAGACTGTGAGCTGAGCCACTGTGTACACATCCCCAGGACCCTGTCTTTTCTCATTATAGATCTGCTTAGAATACCCTGGCAGCCAATCAACTGATACCAAAGGCTGTCATGCAACAGAGGAGATGTTGAGTGTGACCCCAGCTTTGGCTCAACTAAAAACTCAGCTTCAGTAGAAGAGAAGGTAAAACTGCAATCTGCTTTGCCTGGGTGTAGCAGCTAAGAAAAGCACAAAAGTTAAAGTGATTTGAAAACAGAGCAGAATGCAAATGTAAGGCATAAATATTCATAACGCAATTAAAATGTTACTGAAATGTAAACATAATGATACTGATGAAAGTAGCCTTATGAATTGAAAGAATTCCATACAATAAGCTGCCTTTCTATAAAGAAGCAGCCACGCCAGGAACTGGGCTAGAGAAACAAAAGCAACTTCCCAATACCAGTTGCACTGGGTCACCGAAGGGGTATGTACAAGGTTCAAATCTCAATGCTATATAAGAAGGAAAAATAATCACCTTAATTTTATGAGACATACCACACAAGAACTTTCTGATTAAAATGCAAACTCACTTTTAAACTTGCCCATCATCTTTGAAGAAATCCACATTGTTTTCTCTCTCTCTTCACAGAAATGCATACAGAAGTCCGGATGTTATACTTCTAAATGGGACATCACTTCCCATTTAGAAGAGAGTACACTTGGCAAGTGTACTGAAGAAGGTAAGGGAGTTGGTCCCAACAAAAACATGAATGCATGAATGCTGCCCCCACCTCTGTTTACACAAAAGTCCATCAGAGAGAGATGTCGCCTGCCTGTCTTTGCTCTGTGGGCACCATACCTTGGTATAGCAGGGCTGATGGTGGGTGGTGAGTGCCTGATGATTTGGAGGGCATTTCTGCTTCATAGCCCACTGGCAAGTTGTCCAAAATGGCATTGGAGTATTTAGTGGAGCCCAGCCACAGATATATGTCAACTTTTGCCTGCACAGTCCAGCCGGCTGGCCGTTTCCCAGGAAGCTGGGGGAGAGGACAAGGAAAGTTCTTTTATCATCAGAAGGTAAGCATGGACCCTGTTCTGAGAAAATTGATCCTTCCTGGATATATATCTCTAGGTTTGTACAGAGGGTCATCTCTCCAGGGCTCTGTCTACATCACAAAATTGAAAGAAATGATCCCAGGTGTCACATTGCATAACTCCTGAGGACAACCTCAGTCCGGAGGCTTAAACATGAACTCTGATAACCACTGTAGTGGTCCAATTGTAGACCACTGGCTCTGAGCCTATGGCTTGCCTCTTCTTCAAGTTCTTCAGCTTGCCTTGCCTTCCTAGAATCTTCAATACTGGGGTTGCAGCCTGAGTTTCTGCTATTTCACTTTATTCAGGATTGCTTGCCCTGCTCTCCTATCCTGTGTTCTGTGTGAGGGAAAGTCCTGCCTGCTCTCCCAGGCCCTTTTTCCTGGCAGACATTGTCAGATCCTTCCTTCATCCTCCTTAGGCAGTGTGGCTTTAAGCTCCCTAAGCTCTCTGCTTCCTCTCCATACGGTGGCCTCACATGTAATATGGTGTATGTTTGTGTGTGTGTGCACACATGTATTTGTGGGAGTTCATATGCCCCAAGACCACAAGGATAAAAATTGATATATTGAACATGCTTTATTTCCTAGTCACTGGGTTTGGGGATCTCTCTGTCCCCACCTAGTCTTAGTACCAGCCCTGCCTGTATTCAAGGCTTCTGACAAGAGCTGATGACACTTAAGATATGGCTACTTCTCTAGATTCTATTGACTCTTCCAAGTGTCTCTTCTGGCAGGTTTTAGAATTGCCTCTTAATAACTCTCTTTTCTCCTACGCTGAGCTCTTTCTGTGAAAGATCAGAAAGTCCTATCACCACAAGCTAGAACTTGTTCAGACAACTTCCCAAGCACCCATGGAGAGGCTTTGACTTCAAATTGAGCACAGCTGTTTGCCTTTGTAGCTTGCTCTGATGGTTCCAAAAGCAGGTTCGGAACAATTCAATCAAAGGACCACTGCATGTGCCGCTGGGCTTTGGCCAATGGACTAAAGCCAGGAAGCATCAGATGCTGAGGCCCAGACAGTCCTCAGCTCCGGACACTGGCACTCACTCAAGTGATGATGGGTAATTTTTATTATCGACTTGATTGGGTTAACAAACATCTAACGGATTAGTGAGACGCACCTTTGGGCTGACTGCGAGAATGTTTACACGGGATTCAGTGGAGGGAGAGAGGGTAAGACAGACTCTGAATGTGTGCTTCACCATCTTGTGAGCTGGAACCCCACAGAGGGAAAAGGAGTGACGTGTGGGCTAAGCAGAAACAGCCATCTCTCCTCTTCCTGACTGTGGACAGGCTCCCCCATGCCATCCCAGCGAGCCGTGGCAGACTGGGTGGCTTCAAATTGTGAAGCAGCATGATCCCTCCCTCTCAAGTTGTTTCTGGTCAGGTATTTGGTTATAGACACAAAACCAGTAGCTAATACCATGATAAAAGAGAAAAGCTCAGGCAGAGGTTCTCAACCTCTGGGCAAAGACTCCTTTGGGGGTCATATATCAGATATCCTGTATATCAGATATTGACATTACAATTCATAACAGCAGCAACATTACAATAATGAAGTAGCAAAATAATCTTACTATTGGGGGTCAGCACAACGTGCGGAACTATATCAAAGGGTCACAGCACTAGGAAGGTTGAAAATCACTGGTCAAGGGGAGGGAAGGTACATCCCTTGTTCAAATGCACAGCTTGCTGTATTCAGTTTCGGTTTCTCCTTCTGCACATATGGTATCAAGTATTAAGTTTGAAATTTTAGAAATAAGTCATTGATGTGGTTTATTGTAGGATACTGTTATAACTGTTCCAGTTTACTATTAGCTATTGTCATAAACCTCTCACTTGTCAATCAAACTTTATTATAGGTATGTGTTTACAGAGACAATACTATGTATACAGCAATTGCAATTGAATGCTAGGCCCCAGCTGGGTGTCTTGGAACACACTCCCAGTGGATAGAAGGGCACTACCACACTTAGCTGAGTACCTTACTCAGTACCTTAGAGTGAGACCAACCAAGAGCATCCCAGAAGGAGGAAGGAGCACAAACATAGATCTGGGAGTGGAAGCTCATATTTAGTGAGTATTCATGCTGTGCCAAGAATGGTACAGAGAACTTTCTGACCAGAAGAGCTCACATGAGTGACATGGGGCTGGTCAGGCTCAAGGATTGCACACTTGATTGGTATGCAGAGGAGTCGAGATTTAATCTTTAGAAAGAAGGGTGCAGTTATGTATTCAGCTAAATAAATAAATAAAACCACTTTATTTTGAATCAAGGTAAGTACTCTGCAACCTGTAATTTAAGAAAATTATAATAAGAGAAATGATCTCCCTTCATCATTTCCCTGATGATTCAAAAACTTGTTCAAGCAAATAAACGTTTATCGAGAAGGCCGAGGATCTAATTTGGTGCTTGTTTGTATATTGTTTGATTCATACCTGGAAGGCCCTGGGTTTGATTGACAGCACAGAATGAAAGGTAGGGTGGGAGGAAGACAGGGAGGAGGAGAGGAATGGAAGGAAAGAGAGCAGGGATGAGTCTGGGTCAGCCTAGGGTTATTTTGTTGTGGTGACAGCATTTCTTCTGCTATTTGTAGCCATCCCGGGACATCAGTTCACAAAGGCAAGGGTTTTTGTCTCATTCATCACAGTGACGTTTCCAAGGCTTAAAAATAAAGAGCGCTTGGTGCCAGAAGAATGCTGCAAATATTTGTTTAATAAATATTGGTGAGTCCCAAAAGTAAAGACTCATGGCACTCGTTGAGAACTGACACTGGTCTAGGCCCTGGCCTAGTGTTTCTTCCTGCAGACTGTTCTATCTCCTATCTGATGTACTGAGCCACTCTTTTGTTCAGTCTCACAATAGTTCTGCAATCCTTCCAATAAGTATATTTCAGAAATAAAGAAGACAAGTTTCAGGGAAATAAATGTACCGTTATGTAATGTCACAGAGTAAAAAAGGATTACAGCCAGTGCATACTCATCTCTGAGCAGAGGCCCACTCTGCTCCTCACAATTGCTGTGTGTGTGTGTGTGTGTGTGTGTGTGTGTGTGTGTACCTACATAGAGCAAACATTCTAGTTACGTGTGGATTTTTACTCTGCAGTTCCAGGGTGGAAGGTGAGTGTATACATCTTTCAGTTGGTGCTAAGCCTACAGACCTTAATTTTAGGCATTTAAATTGTATGGCTCAGAACATACTATGTTATATTCCACCCTTAAACTTTTTAAAAGTTCTTTATTCTTTAATGAAAAACAACAGAAAACATCATTTCTTCTACTATGAAGAAGAAACTATGTGCATGTGTGTGGGTATGTATATATGTGTATGTGTGTGTGAATGTGTGTTTGTGAGTGTTCATGTTTGCATATGTGTACATGTGTGTATGTGTGTGAGTGTGTTTGTGAATGAATGTGCATGTGTGTGTGAACTTATAGTGAAAACCAAAAAATCAACTCAAATCCTGCAAAAGTATTCCACAAGATCACTGCTACATTCGTAAAGTATATAACATAGGAATTTTCCTAATAAGCATTCCAATCAAAATTGCTCTCACGCATCCAGGTTTGATGTATTCAGTCCCTTGAGACTGGAATGGAGAGCAGATAATAAAAAACAGCCAAGAATAGAGAGGTATATAAACAGTTCTGATAAACATTACATCTCTTGCAGGATTTGATGTTGGCTAAGTCTTAGACTTCCCTGTGCCTCATCTACCTCCTCCTCCCGAAATGGACCCAACAAATAGAAGGTTCATTAGAGTCCCTGTTAGAGTTTGGAAGTCGAATGTCCTTCTTGGACTTTTAAGCAGTTGTTTCTCAGCCAGTGGCACTGTTTGGGGGAGGCTGTGGAACCTTTGGGTCTGTAGCGTAACCAACAGAAGGGTCTTTGAAGATGCTCTCTCTCTTGTTTATGCCTGTCGTCTCTGCTTCCTCTTGGAAGCCTCTTGGACAAGCTCTTGTTGTCACAGACCCAGGCTAGTCATTATTCCTTTCCCTACCCTACCATGAAGGACTGTGTCCCCTCACCTGTGAGTCAAAAGAAATCCTCTCTGCCCTGAGATGCTTCCGCAAGGTGTTCTGACACAGCCACAGGCAGAGTGACTAATCCAGTTGTACATTAGATACTCTGGAGCAATAAACTAACAAATCTGACTTTCAAAAATGTGGGCGCTTCTTGACTGTAGATCTTGTAGCTGTCATCTTCTGACCCGTGGGCACTGTGAAAGTTGACGACTTTCCAGTGTGACAACTACAACCTCCTACAGGTCTTTGAATGTTTAGGGGATGTTTACCCAGCAGACAGCTGTGCCATAGAATAAACTTTGAAGAATTTCTGGCTTAGAGATTTTAGAGATTTACAGTCTGTGCTTTTTATTTTCACTTCTGAATGCTCCACTAGGGACGAGTCATGAGACTGGGCCTTCTCCTATAGTCTTGGCTTTTTTTTTTTTCCCAGACTTACTATTTCAGGAAGAAGCGGGAAAGGTGGGAGAGAGAATAAAAGGAAGTGGTGGGTAAGAGGGAGTAGAAATGGGAGTTGACAATCAAAACAAGAACGGAAATGGTTTTGCTGAATCATTTGTTCTAGGTGCTTGCTCCCCGAATGGTAACTGAATTCAAGAAGACTTAGTGGTCATCCATAGTAATCACAGAGGCAACAGGAAAATGCACATAAAGAAAGCCATAAACACATTGATGGAGATAACACACAGGCTGGATACCTGTGGGGGAGCATTTCTCCTATCTAGCAGTACCAATCCCCTGGCTTGATTTGACAGCTCCTCTTCTAATTTTGTACGGTGCCAGGAGACACCACAATATTTAGCAGAGAGTAACTTCATACCACTTTCTAGTATTTTTAGCACAGGTCCTTTGGAAATGACTTGCTATTTTTAAGACAAATCTTTCTTGCCTCTGTAGCACTCTTTGAATGGGGAAGGTGAAAGAAAGTCTCTGATATTTGGGATGAATGACTTGGGTACAAAAAAATATATATTGACTTTTTTCACTTGTGGTTTCATAGAAGCAGATTTTAAAAATTCTTTTATTAACAGGACAGAAAGAAATAAGCGAGGCCACTGTGTTAGTTCCTTCTCTTGCTGATGTGCCAAATTCTCAGCAAAGGCAACTTCAAGAAAGGAGTCATTTTGGCTCCTGGTGTAAGGGAGGCTACAGTCAACCATGGGTGGGGGGTGTGGAGGAGGGAGGGTGAAGTGGCTGTCCATCAGGTCCACAGGAAGACGTCAGAGACAGATGAATGCAGGTGCTCACCTCTTTCCCTGTCCTCCCTCCTATTCACTCTGAGACCCCAGCCCATGGGATGACGTCACTCACTCTCAGGGTGGGGCTTCCCACATCGGTTAAGCCTATTTCTGGAAGCACACTCATGGATAGACCCAGACTGTGCCTCGAGGTCAATTCTAAATCCAGTCAGATTAAGCACCACAGCTACAAACAACTGATGAACTCTGAAGGGGATAACAAAGTCCTCTGAGGTGCTAGATGCCCAGTTTCTTAAACACTGGTATTTACTGACTGATGACTCTGTATGAGGCACAAGTATGCATCCTTTGTTTGAGGTTCCTCACTTAATCCTCGCAGGCATATCCACGTCGTGGATGAAAAATAGAATAAACATTCTTCAAATGCATGAAAAATATTAAGCAGTCTCTCCAAGATCACACAGCCAGTAAATATTTGCCTGGAACTCTGGTATGGATTGAATTATGTTCCTCCCAGCTTCCTCTGTCTTACATCTTAATCTCCAGTTATCAGAGTGCTACCCTATTTGGAAGTAGGGTCACTGCAGATGTAATTAGTCAAATGACTGTACTGAAATAGAATGGTACCTAAATTTAGTATGACTGATGCCTTTATCAAAAGGATGCTTCCTTTCTTCTTCCTCCCTTTCTACCTTCCTTTTTTCCTTTCTTCATTTCTTCCTTTTCCTTCCTCCTTTCATTTTTTCTTTTTCTTTTCAGCATTGTGGGTTGACCCTAGGGCCTTGTATGTGTTAGGCAAGCTCATTACCCACTGACCTACATTAGTTTGTTTTTTTTTTTTTTGAAAAAATTCAGTATTTCACTAAGTTGTTCAAACTTGCTTTGTGGCCCAGGCTGGTTTTGAAATGTCTCAGATTCCCGAGTATTTGTGATTGAAGGTCTTTACAACCAGAACAGGCTTAAAGATTTGAAACAAACATATTAACTGTATGGATGAATGAAGTTCGTCTAACAATATGTATTAACTCCTGTGAAAGATGCCTCGGGAAAATTGTATGAGAGAAAAATGACAGGAGGAACCAATTTCCAGTCTCACTAATAATCAAAGGAGTCAAAATCTGAGCTAGTGGGTTGGTCATTAAGACAAATCTAATCTACATATGTCTGAAGACATCATAATTGGAAAGCTAGAAACTACTCAATTGGAATTTAGATCGAGAAGCCTGGGGTCCTCTGTTTTTGAAAACACTGGAAAGAATTCCAGACATGGACACATGCTAGAAATTCTAAGTCACTCAGGATAAAAAGAAATTGGTCTTCTTTGGTCTCAGGCAGACTTACCTTGAGAAAGTGGGTCTTGATCTTCCCACAGTGCTTGCCCATCTGCTCTTCGATGGGGGAGTAAAGCAGGTCTTTGGCAGCAATTCGGGCATATGCCACTCTCTTGTTGTTACTGAGCATCCAAATGAAGATGTCCGGGATGGTGTGCTGCGGCTGGATGGTGGAAAGATATGATCGCATAGGTTGGTATCTAATGGATGTACTTCTCGAGTTTACCTATCCCCAAAGAACCCTTCTGCATCGAACAATGTAGGTGGTTAATCATCTGGACAAATAAGCCAGTGAGGTGCCACTTCCTTAAGAAGACAGCATCTCAGTCGTGAGGTCAGGATACATGGGTTTGCTTGAGCCTGCTGGACCTGTGTTGGGTCATCTTTGGTGGCCTGCTTTTCATGATCTACCAAATGAATGCTTTTCTACAGATTTCTGTTGGTTCTTTTCTAATGTAGATATTGACTTAGCTTCAAAGCTTTAGATTTCTTCAGAACCATGTAACGTTCCAGAAAGTCCAGATGAAAGATTAAAAAAAAAAGTACACTAATACCTTTGAATCATTCCACAGTCACTTTTAGGAAAGAGAAAACAAGTCTACAGGAGCCTGTACCTAACATCTGGTTGCCAAATAGCCAACTTCCGTTTCAGCCATCTTGGAACAACTCTGCTAATCTTTATAGGAATTTGAAAATTGAACTATTTAATAAGGAAATGCAGGTTTCCATATCAAGTGTTTCATTATTTTGTATTTGGAATGTACACTTCTGAACCAATGTAACTACCAAAATAGGAGACATAGCACTTTTATCTAGAGGTAGATGCTCTGTCTTGCTCTCTCTCCTCTCACATACAGATTTGATACTGAAAAGGAGCACCCATCCCTTCCATCTGGTGTGAAACCAAAGGCAAAGGATAGTCTTCCAGACACAAGGCTTGTTAGTTACAGACAGGAAGCCCCAATGCCTGCCTCGAACCTTCCATATTCATAACGAAATCCTCATGTCTACTGCTTAGCATTACCTGTCTCACTACTTAACATACTTCCAGGGAACAAATACTATACGAGAGAATCACCACACTCAAGAGCCAATGGAGCAGGAAAGCCGTGTGCCTCTCTCCAACACCATCCCCCACAAATCCCCTGTAGAAAGTCTGTCCACATCTGCAGGATTCAAGAAAGAATCAGTATTTGACAGAAGTGAATATGATGCCTTTTAAAATCATACTAGAAGACATCAGAAAACCTTTCTTACAACTATTCTTAAATAGATACTGTTTGACCTTTACTGAACATGAGTTTAAATTTTCTTATGCTTGAAAACCCCTTGAGGTTCCCAGCATGCTTGCTTGGACTTTTCTTGTGTTAGGGGGGCATGTTTTTTACTCTGCTGAACACTCTGACTTTATGAGAAATCAACACAGCGATCTATATTTGGCTTAATTTTAAAATTTTCTCCCTCCATCACCAAGCCAACACTCAATTTGCTCATCTCGCCCTCTCTGGGATGCTTTTCCCCTTATCTTCCCAATGAGCTTTGCCTGCAGCATTGATTACCTCATCCACAAGAAAGCGGATTTTCTCCACAAAGTTCTGAGCTTCACGGATCATCTCATCAAGAGATAACTTTTTCTTCTGTTGTTGAATAATCCCTTCAGCCTCATTGGCCATTGACTTCTAAAAAAAAAAAAGGATGAGAGTTGTGGTGTAGATCTTTCCAGAAGTCTGGGCAACAAACACTGCCCTTCGCTTTAGTGTCCTGAAGGTGTTTGCAAGCCTAATAGTAAGCACTACACTCTGAACTGGCTTTGGCTTTGACATTGTGCTCATTGACCATTGAATGGAAATGACATAAGAGTTCAATTCACTCATCTCACCCTCTCTGGGAAGTTTTCTTCCTCATATTCCCAATGAACTTTGTAGAGTTGATTACAAAGTTCCTCATCCGTAAGAAATCTACCACAGTGAAGACAGTAGATATCATCTCTGAGTTGGTAGATAGATGAGATGTTGAGACCTAGAAAGTGCAGAAACGTGTCCAGGCCACAGGATTATGAGACAATAGCTGAACTAAGCTCCCTGGTGCTTAATAAGAACTCTAATGATGACAGCTAAGCTGTGTTGAGTTATTACTGTATGCCATTCAATATTCTTTCATCATTCCTCTTAGTGACCTTCTGAGGTGGGTACCAAGATTTCCATTTTAAGGTGAAAAAAAAAGCCACATAGCTTCTGGGCCTGATCTCCAGATCAATCCAGAATGCATGACCCTTGCTTATCCTAGAACTGTGAAGGATGCTTCCAGCCCAAAGTATCATCTGAGAAACATCTGAGTTAAATGCCAAACACAATTATTTTATAGCCCAGGCATGGCAGTAAACCTCTGTAACTCCAGCTCCTGAGAGGGAGATGAAAATGAGGGAGCAGTAGTTCGAGGTCAAAATTACATAAAGCAAGTTTGAGCTCAGCCTGGGCTATATGAGAGCATGTCAAGAAAGGAAGAGAGAGAGGGTGAGAAGAAGGGACAAGGAGGAGGAAGAGGGTATAGGAAGGGACAGAGGAAGGGAGAAAAAAAAAGCAAATACTTATTTTTATTCATCCATTCCACCTATACTTATTGGATTTGTTTTTTCAAAAATAGAAAAAACAATCTTTACAGTGCCTTCTAAGGCCCCCAGAGCTCACTGTGCTTCTCTCTGTGTCTCATAGTGTTCTCTCTTCTCCCACTGTGCCCCAGACTCATGGCTCCTCAAGAGATCCTGGGGCATACCAAGGTTGGTCTACCCTATGGCTATAACACACAGACCTTATTGTTCAAATGTTCTTCCTATCCTCCATGGGGCTTCAGTTTAAACATTGCCATGGTATTATCTGTTGTCAAATATTTTTATGGTTTCTTTGGCTTTGGCATGTTTCCCTTCATAACCATAACCTAAGATTATTTTTATGTCTGTGTTGTTTGCCTCCCTGCATTCTGTCTTCTCCACTACAAGGGACTCTGCAGTTGGACAAGGGGCTCCTGTCTTGACCTTATCTTGGACAATCAATGTTGTCAGAGAGTCTGTTGCACAACAGTGACATACAGTACCTCCTAGGCACACAAAGGGAGTGAATAAGCCAAGACATTTATGGATTCCTCAGGGACAAGCACTTAAGAACTTTCAGCTTTATGTTTCTAGCACTTTGTCTATGCCCAACACGCAAGAAGCCTTCTGGTGATGCTGACTGAAAGAGTGAATACCTGCTGTCTGCCAGATACTGAGACACACACGATGCTTCCTTTGACGGTTTTGTAAAATGAAAGTAATATATACAAATAAATGTATAAAGCATCGTGAGATCAGATGGGTGAAGCCAGGCTTCCTGGAGGATCTCAATCTGACCTGACCCATATGGAATACATCAGTCAGTAAGAAAACAGTTGACAGGCTAGAGGAGAGGAGAATTGTTAGTTCTTTTAGCTTCTTGTTTGTGGGACAGATGTCAAGGTGAAAGAATCTAGCAGCCTAGCCTTAAAAAGAAAATGCGTACGTGTGTGCTTTGCCTGCATGTGTCTGTGTGCCATGTGCAATGTGGGCTGAGGCCAGAAGAGGGCAGCAGATCTTCTGGATCTGGAGTTAGAGACAGTTGTGAGCCTCCATGTGCTAAGAATTAAACACAGGTCCTCTGGAAGAGCATCTATTTTTCCTAAATGCCCAGCTATTTCTCTAGCCCATATCTAACAGTTTTAGCAAAATACAAGTTTCAGAAGAAATAAACAAGGGCAGGGGACTCCATATGAATAAGAAGTTGAACTCCTGGGCTTGCAAGACCATCCTTGTGAATCTCCGATAGATAAATTCCCTTCCTACACAACATACATTCTTTCCCACTGCTGTTTCTACCTGACAGGAAAATATATTCTTTAAACCTTGTCCTTGTCTGCCCTACGAACTATGTGTCATCCGTGAGGTTTATTTTTAGAGCACATGCTTTAGCTGTGTTCAAAATATAAATAGGTTTTCACATACCAGTTCTTGCCAACAGAGTGTGAGTCGTTTCTTATCTAATGCGGTTTGGTTCAGCATCTTCGGCTTCTTTTCTGCTTCAGAGATAAAGGCTCTGAAATAGAATATTCATTTTGTAGCCTACTTAGTGAAAATCCATTTGTGTGATTCCAGAGATTTGAAAAGAAAATCTACTCTCTGTAGCACAACGGAAAGCTGATAGATCCACAGAACCCAGGTTTTTAAATTTAGGTTTCAACACGGTGTGCTAACATTTCTAATAGAAAAAAAAAAAAAAAAGGAAGAGACTGGAAATGATACCCAGGCCCTGTGTTAGTTTGAGGAGATTTCTGAATTCTACTTCATATATACCCATTGCAACTGCTAGCAAAACTCATGACACATTTGTGTGAAATAATACAGTCTAACATATTTAAGCCACACCAAGACTTTTCTGAAATGTTACATATAGAGCAGATATTTTAGAATTGAGACTGAGATGTGTCCCTACCTTCTTGGAGAATAACGTTTCTGGAGATGAAATTTCAAATTTGTTTAAAAAGGAAAATAATAACGGCTATGAATACAATTCAAGAAGAAATGTAAATGAACATATCTTTACTGATGATTTAAATGATATTAAAATCAATACAACTTCACTTATAAAAGTAATATTATCCAAAATTAGTGGTGGTAAGGGAGAGTATGGAAAAGTGTGTGCTGCTGTAAAAGTAACTGGTTATGTTTTTTTATGAACTACTTGATAGAATCTATGAACATTTTAACATGTGCATAATTTGATTTAAAAATTACACTAGAATTCTCATCCTTTAGAAACAGTGGAATGATTTTTTTAAAGAATATATTTACAGAGTATTTGCCATGGTGATAGAATAAATGAAACAATGAACTGTTGTTAAAAATAAATTAAACTTTACCATGATATATCTATGTGTGAAATTGCTCGTGATATATTACTGAGTGTAGGAGCAGCCAGCTGGACAAATACCTGCTATTGCTGGGACGAAACAGCGTGTTTTATGAGTGTATGTATGTGAGGATGTGTGTCTGCAAAGGCAGAGAAAACAACAGTCCAGGAGGAAAAATTAACCTCTTTTCTCTGAAACTAGGAATGTACAGAAAGTTGAAAATATATCTTTTAATGTCATATCCATAACAGAACTGTGGAATCTGGACTATAGATGTACATATTATACAATAATCGTGTGGTCCTTCTGTAGTGAAATAATCACAAGGAAACTTACAAAGGGGAATCCAGGACGAGAGACCCCAAACCCAGGCTCTGCCTGGGGCCTGTTGGAAACCCTGCCACACTCTCTTTGGGGAATCCTATTAAAACTGTATTTCCTGTTCCTTTTTATAAAGAATAAGATGGTCATATTTTGAGTTGGAAATACTAAAAATGTTGTTGTATCCCTGTGTTTACTAAAAGTACAGGAAATCCCATCCCACTCTCTGGGATGGATCAGCCCCACGTAGACATGTTAGCTGCTTAGGGTCTCTCTTATTTCACAGAGGCTAATGAAAATACTTTTTTTTTCTGCATCAGAATTGGCGTGAGTGATACGGCGTTTGCCTTCATTCATCTCCATCTCACAGGCCTAGCCTAACCTCGGCTGTGGGCAGCCTGGTCACCTCTACACGATGACTGGCTTGTCCTTGCTGTGGAGAGGGTCTCAGAAGACCAACTGCTTGATGAAGAAAGGCTCAGGAGGTGAGAATTCCAATCTGACCTCGGGTCCAGCCTGCTTTCTCAGACCCACAGTTCCCGACTATAAAACTACCGCTTTGATTACTGACACAGATGGGTGTGCTCTCAGTTGACTGAAAACTTGAAGAAAATGAGGGACAGTTAATTATCACCCTCAGGTTCCCATAATATGGAAGAGTTATTGAGCTATTACTTGCTTGGTAATACTTTCCAACATGAGATATGAGGTTATGAAGCTTTTTAAAGGTGTCTCAAGGGAATTGAACTGGCGCTCGGCTCACAGCAGGACTCATGCTTAATATTTCTTTGTACTGAAAAATGTAAGTGGATGAGGACAGCACAAGTGACACATTTATTTCTTTGCTTACATATATATGTATGCGAATATATAAAGACAGATATATACACATGAATATACATACACACATGTAGCAGAATATTGGGTATTTCTTCTGCCCCATCTACCACTTACAGACTGCCCTTGCTGTTAATGTTGGTGGCACTAGTGACTTCCTGCTAATGCTATGAGGATTTTTTCTTGTTCCATGTGAGTCTGAGCAGTGGGCCTGTCTTGTTTTGGCTTTTTCCCCTTGGCTTCTGTTTCAGTTGTTTGAGAGTGTCAGGAGCCGATACAGCACCATGAAGTGCCCATCCAATGCGCATGAGCGCAGCTGATTTCTCAAAGCCGATAAAAGCCGAGTTCAGCCGAGCTCATCTCTGATGACGTCACCCACCTGCTTTGACTGATTAAGTCACGGAGCGCAGTCTTCATCTTCTCTTCCGGTGCCTCCTCAGAAACCTTGACCAGCTCTCTCACTTCTTCTATGCCTTCTTCCTGAAGACAAACCACAGAGCCATGGGACTTGTATAGATATCATTAGTTGTCACATCCCAGAAACAACAGCTGGCTATCTTTGTCTCTGTGGTTTTGGAGACAGGAAGTGCCCCTTTACTTTCATGAACTTGGCCTGGAAACATAGGTGCCGCGCTCCTACTTTGATCCCTCCTTAATAGACGCGTATTCTTGCCCACATTGCTCAGAGCCATTGTGCCTCAGATCCATGCCTGCCTACCTAAGCATCGTTCTGTGTCACTCACCTTGTGGAAAACCTAGTATCATGAGAAATATTTCATAATTTAAAATTTTATATATAATTATTAAACAACTTCAAAATCAATATTTAAGTCAGTTTTACAGAGTAATGGAATCCTCCTGACATTAGAGAGCTACTTGCTCTTCTGAGTATATCAGATTTGGGGACAGGGAATGGCGGAGGTTGGCTGTGGGCAGTGACTATATACTGAGATACAGAATAGTTTTACATTTCTCTTTGGGCCTAATTTCTAGGATTCTACTTAGTAGAAATCTTGGATTCTACTCAGAGAAAAATGGGGTCTAAAGGGAATTACTCCTCTTTCCACTGTTCTGCTGGAATTTACAAAAGCTGCATTTCCTATCACTGGCCAAAGCCTGGTGCCTGGTGACTCAAGCACCATTGCATCTCAGTATCTGAGGAACAGGCATCACAATGGAGTGAGGATTCAGGCTGTGGCCTGGGCTACCTGGGTTCCAATCTAGGATGCCATTAACTAGTGACCTAACCTCATTTATAAGTGACCGTTATATTAGTGACCGTTTCCTCATTTATAAGATAGGAAACTAATAGGAACCCTCTACACTGCCACCATAAGGGGAATGAACTTAGTCATGGAGGCCAGGAAGGCCTGTTGACACTGACAACTCTTTTCTAATTCCTTGCTCTCTCAGTGATGAACTAAGACTATTCTGTCCAAAGAAAAACCAGACTAGACTTACAAAGCCCGTGGCCTCCACATTGTGTGAGCCAGCTAGGCCTCTCAAGTTATCGTCAGAGTCTAGTTATGTAATTCCTAGACTCCCACAATGGGAGACACTGTTTTGCTTTACAGAAGCCAGGTTGTGGAACAAAGAGGAGGGAGATATAATTCTATCCTTAGTGTAGGCTCTAGAGGAATAGGACAAGCGTCATCTGGTAGCACCTGTGGACTGCCCGTAGAGGATTAGAGGATGTTTCTCCCAATGGGACATATGGGAGAGGAGAGAGTAGAACAGAGGACTAGTTGAAGCCAGATGTCAACTTTGTGAGATGCCTTCCCGCCCCTGCCTTTGGGAGATGTGGAATCAACCTCGTGTTAGGTATTGTAAGACTAAAAGGCAGACTTGGTTAGTTTGGATTCTGGTTTGGATAGCTTGATATGAATCCAAGGGGTTTTACAAAACATTCTCATTCCTCTGGGTCTACATGGTAGAAGCTATGAAATGCAGTACCCCTCAATTCAGTAGTATTTAACCCAAGGTCAAGACCCTGGTTGAATAAAAAGGTTTATCTTTGTCCCCAGTTTCCCATTCTGTCTATGAAGCTACCTACCAAGAGGTCAGCCATTTTTTCCAGCATGTTGGACCAGTGCAGTCTGAATGTCTGGTCTCCCCAGGAACTGATGAAGGAGACACAGGGCTTCTTGGCACCAAAGGGCAAATAGTTGTAATTTCTGTAAAAGGCACATTGGATGCAAAAGTCAGTAGGCAATCAGTGGTTTTCAATCAATTCTGATTTGTTCATGTTTCATGTGTTCTGTAGGGCTGCAGAAGAGTGGGGATAAAACTACTATCCTCATTCTATAATTGGAGACCTGTGAACAGTGAACACTGGTTATGTGGCCACCATGGAAAGGATTAAGAGTTACCAACAAATCAAGATGGCGACCCACATCTGATTCTCGCACTTGGAATGTAGATCTGGGAGGAGGATTCAAAGCCATCCACAGCAACAAAGAAAATTCAAGGATAGCCTGGGCTGCATTTGAGACTCTCAAAATAAAACCAACCAAACAAAAGAATTTACCCTCTGACACAGGGCAAAGCTTTGAAATTATTGTCAGTGTGTAAAATACATTGGGCAAGCCTTCCTCATTGAAGACTTAAGTTGATAAAGAGAAAAGGGCAAGATTGCTTTTTAAATATGTATATTCTGAGCACATTGTATTGACCTATTGATATAACAGATGAGAGTGAAATTTTTGGAGAAAAATAAATCATATTACCAATAGGGATAAAGGCATATATACCAATCTAAATCAGTACTTGGTGGCTTGGCATCATTGTTTCATCCATTTGTCTGTCCATCCATCCATCCATCCATCCATCCATCCATCCATCCATCCATCCACCCAATACTTATTCTTGCCAGGCAATGGTGCCAATAATCTATGTGGCTTGTTTGGCTAGGAAGCGATAAGAGGTATAGCCAAGATGTGGAGCCCCAGGGAACGTGGTAGCAGTGGAATAAATATACTTTAAATGCTGATAGAAAAAATCCTTAACAGAATGAAATGGAAGGCAGAAAAGACAGGGCCAGTGTGCATATTTGGTTCCCAAGGAGTTAGGTGGCATGTGAAGGCAGGGCAGGCAGAAGAGGTACAGCTGTTTTAATGATCAGGTTTTTACAGCCCCCAATAATTTCCTCACAAGCATAGGAGACTGTAAAGAGATGAATAGAAGGAAGGCAGAAGGAAAGTGCTGGGGATGGGTGTGGTGCGGACTCTAGAGAAGTGGACAGTGTTTAGAGAAATGTACTTATGGTCCTTTGGAGAGAAAGAGATGGAGGCAGAGTGAGGAGGAGAGAAAGGAGCGATAAAAAGAAGAGAGAAGGGAAAGGGAAGGGAGAGGGAAGGTGAGGGAGGAGAAGGGAAAAGAGGGGAGGGGAGGGGAAAGGGGAGGAGAGGAGAGGGGAGGGGAGTAGAAACAAGTTTTATTTTCCTTTCAAACAAAAGCTACAAAGATCTTCAGCCTGAAAGATTGGATGCTCATTTTTAGCTCTCCAACGTAAATTTCTCGTTAAGTAAACAACAGAATTAGCAAAGGGTGCCTGGTCTGCTCTGTAAAAAAATAAATAAACCAGCAGGTGTCCATTCAGTAAAGGAAGCCAAAGAGGCTCTTGGCAGGACTTGAAATTGTCATCACAGCAAGACGACAAACAACAAAGACAAAAGGTCAGATACCAAGCTACTCTGTTTTATCTATGAAATCATTTCCCTGAGAACCCTGCATCTAAACAAGCTCCCACACTGTTGTATTTGTCTCAAGGTTTCTTTGGGTTACCATGTGCTAATGGTAGTCTTGGTCTTGGTCTCTGTGATTTTCAGAGTTTTGTTGCTGGGTCTTCGAGGACACACACAGGCATGAGGCAGTTAGGTTCATTGGGTAAGCCATGAACATCCTTGAACATCCTTTTGTGCAAAAGGAAACGCAACAAATAAGGAGGTACCTGGTTGCCCAAACAGAGTGCAGACTGCCAGCATCGTTCACCTGTGACTTTGGGCAAGAATAAACCTGTCCTGAGGATGTAATGACAAGCTTCCACTGATGTCACCTATTCTGATTTATTCCTCATCTCTATCAGGCACAGGTTGTGTGCAAATGCACATACTTTGCAAAACCAGAAAACCACGAGCACATACTCAGTGAAATTTTATTAGGAGTAATAGACATATGTTGTATATATTCATATCTGTATGTGCCCATATATGCATATATCTGTGGTGTGTATGTGTATGTCTGTATGTGTGTGTGTATGTGGTATGTGTCTGTGAATGCATGTATCTGTGTGTGTCTGTATGTGTGCATGTGTGTCTATGTGTGTGTGTGTCTGTGTGTGTGGTATATGTCTGTGGTATGTGTCCATTTGTGCATGTGTGTGTCTGTGTCTATGTATGTGCATATGTGG